TATCAGGTTCCCGAGTCCCTCCGAAGGCCCAGATATGACCATAGTGGATGTGTCTTTACTCCCATCAATCACACAACATCAGATGTCCTCTACTTTAGTGAAGGTCAACACAGATAAGGTTGGTGACAAAAACAATAGCTTTTACCACTATAATTCTATCATAGATTTCTATTCTATGTGTAATGCATATTATTTCTCACCATTATATCATAGATTTCTATTCTATGTGTAATGTATATTTCTCACCATTAGAGATCTGCCAAAGACCGAGCCAAGAAAGGCAGGAGGACACGGAGGCACTCTGCTTTACGTCAGTTGGGGAACAGTGTTGAGAGCTGGATAGAGAAGGAGCTCCTGAGGTGAGGAAGCTGATGCATGTATTACAGTAGTGTGTTTGTAAGTGAATGTCCATATTTCAAAACAATTTAATCAGATACATTTACTAATCATTTACAACTATATGTCACTAACTCGTTCCCCTGCTTGGCCAATCCTAGACATGAGTACCTGCAGAAGGTGCAAAGAGAGAGAACCCAGCGGGCCCATGAGAGTAGAGGGGACCTGGAGCTCCAGCGCCTCCAGCAGTGGGTCAACCAGGCCCACCACACCCGCTGTTGGAGTGCCCACCCTGGGGGCTACGGTGAGGCAACATGCTGCTGAACCATGGTTCATTTACAGCACTCCCATTCACAGTATTGCTCAGATTTACACACATTGGCCCAACACTGCCTTTTATGATTATCATGCAATATAGTTACTCTAACACTATTATTAACACTCTCACATTCATTCTTCTAACATATGTATCCTTTGTCCTGTCCTCTACCATTTTTTGTCAGAGAGGCATATATTTGACGCTCTAGGATCTAGGCAATGTGAGCAGGGTAGGTACCTGAGGACATGCCCCACCATCCAGCTCCATAATGGGGGTACCCCCCCCAGTCACCTGCCTCCCCCCAGTCACGCTGCATCTCCACCCCTGGTCTCACCCTGCCACCCCACAGCCAAAACCCTGCATCAGGCCTGGGACTCCAAGGAAGATCAGCCTTACAGGTAAGAGCTGTGACTATGAAACACATTTCCTTCCATTGGACATGTGTTTAGCTCAGTAGGTGATATAATGTGTATCATAGGCCTTGTAGGCACCGTCTCTTATGCTTACTGTACTTTTATTAAGTACTGTATGTGAGTACAGTAATGCCACATCAGTGTTGGTGTGTGCTGTATGTGTGTGCTGAAATCTGCTGTTGTCCACCTTAGGCTCCCGATGTCTCATTTCTCTCTGTCGCGGACCATGGAGCACAAGCCTGTGACTAGGGAGGATCTATGGGAGGTGGACAGAAAGGCAGGCATTCTCCTGCTCCAGAGACCCAACTCTGGAAATTCTATCCCCAGCAAAGGGTGAGGGCAAAAAAAGACAATTAGTATACACTTTTTGTTACACTGATGGCATTGATGTGTGTTGCCCTTTTGTGTGTTCCATCTTCTCTGCAGACGCTACACCATGGCCAAGGCCCTCCCTATACTTGTCAAGCATCCCAACTCACAACTTGAAGAAAGGCTACTGAGGGACTGCTTCCCTAAACACTACCGTGCTCTATTGGTCAAATCTACTTCCCCCACACTCCTACTGTGAAGACTCTGCACAATATAAGCCTAACCTACCTCACCTACAGTGCATTCGGAAAGTATTCAGACCCCTTGACTTTTTCCACATTTTGTTACGTTACAGCCTTATTCTAAAATGGATTAAATTGTTTTTTCCCTCATCAATCTACACACAATACCCCATAATGACAAAGCAAAAACAGGTTTTTATAAATTTTTGCAAATGTATTACAAATTACAAACTGAAATATCACATTTAATAAGTATTCAGAGCCTTTACTCAGTACTTTGTTGACGCACCTTTGGCAGCGATTACAGCCTTGAGTCTTCTTGGGTATGACGCTACAAGCTTGGCACACCTGTATTTGGGGAGTTTCTCCCATTCTCCGGACTAGTCTCCCAGTCCCTGCGCTGAAAAACATCCCCACAGCATGATGCTGCCACCACCATGCTTCACCATAGGGATGGTGGCAGGTTTCCTCCAGATGTGACGCTTGGCATTCAGGCCTAAGAGTTCAGTCTTGGTTTCATCAGACCAGAGAATCTTGTTTCTCATGGTCTGAGAGTCTTTAGGTGCCTTTTGGCAAACTCCAAGCGGGCTGTCATGTGCCTTTTACTGAGGAGTGGCTTCCGTCTGGCCACTCTACCATAAAGTTCTGATTGGTGGAGTGCTGCAGAGATAGTTGTCCTTCTGGAAGGTTCTCCCATCTCCACAGAGGAACCCTAGAGCTCTGTCAGAGTGACCATCGGGTTCGTGGTCACCTCCCTGACCAAGGCCCTTCTCATTTTACATTTTAGTCATTTAGCAGACGCTCTTATCCAGAGCGACTTACAGTTAGTGAGTGCATACATTTTTCATACTCAGAAGGAGGCACTGCAGGAGGCCCTCAGGGAGAGGGAGTCAGTGGTTGCACGGAGAAAGGAGCTGGCCAGACAACAGAAGGAGCTGAGAGAGGAATTAACCCTCCAGCAGCAGAGAACTCAGTCCTTAGAGCAGAGGCTGGCGGAGCCAGGTTTAGCATAGCCAACTCCCCGCACTCGCTTTGAGGAGCATGTGACCATACAGGCACCAGGCTATGCGCCGGCCTCCCATGTCCAAAATGTCTTCCCCACCTGTGTCCAGCTTGTCTGTTCCTCCTGGCCACGCTGCTTGGTCCGTTGGTGGTGGGATCTTCTGTCACGTTCGTTGAGTAAAGGATTGGACCAAGGTGCAGCGTGGTATGCGTACATGTTTAATTATGAAGTAAACACACGACAAAACAACAAACACAACGTAACGTGACGTTTTAATGGGCTACACATAAACAAGCCAAACCAGAAACAAGATCCCACAACATAGGTAGGCAACATGGCTGCCTAAGTATGATCCCCAATCAGAGACAACGATCGACAGCTGCCTCTGATTGGGAACCACACCCGGCCAACATAGAAATACAAAATCTAGATGAACACATAGATATTCACACCCTGACCAAACCAACTAGAGATCTCTATGTCAGGGCGTGACAGGGTGTGCACAACCGCAAGCTACTGCGGCCCCTCATGATGAGTTCAGATTTTTTGTGGCCCACACCCCCATCAAAGTTGTCCATCCCTGGGTTAGGGTTAGCTAAAATGCAAAAACGTTTAACTTTTGACATTAATTTGACAAAAGCTCGATCCCTTCTAGCCATGACCGAGCGGGACTCCCTAAAAACAGTATGTTTTTCTCCTAACCTGCTGCGTAAATTAATCTAACCTGCTACCAAAAAGTGACTTCCGATTGTAGCTGTATATACCACTAGTCAAAACACGCCACTTCAATACAGCTTTGACCGGAAGTAACTTTCCGTAGCAGGTTAGGAGAGCATTTTTGGTAACCCTAACCCTTTTCCTGACCCTATTCTCCTAACCTGCAATGAAAAAGTCACTTCCGGTCGTAGCTGTATCAAAGGGAATATCATCGCAGGTTTTGACTAGTGGTATATAAAGCTACGACCGTAAATTACTTTTTCGTAGCAGGTTAGATTAATTTAAGTAGCAGGTTAGGAGAATTTACACAGCAGGTTTGGATAATTAACGTAGCAGGTTAAGAGAATTAGGTTAAGGTTAGGAAAAGGGTTAGGGTTAGCTAAAATGCTCTCCTAACCTGCTACGAAAAGTCACTTCCAGCCGTAGATGTACTCAATCTATTCACAACCATCGTCGCAGGCTGGTTAGTGATATCCGGATTCCTTGGGACGTCCCTACCCTTAACCCTAACCATAAACCTTACCTTAACCATTTTAAAGTTCAACTTCAATTGGGTAACGTCAGAGTTGGGACGTCCCAAGGATCCCATCGCAGGCCTGGTCACAGGTCAAGTAATCAATCCGTCGATGACATCGATAGGTGTCCAATATAGGCATACAAAATGGAATCTGTCAAAAAGGATAAATGCATCCTCTCTTCGATTGTAGTCTGCTACATAAGAGTTGAATTGGCCGTTGGCCCACAGTAAAAGTCTACAACAAAAGTTAAAAAAGCTCAAAATATTCAGCAAACATTGCATGGAATGGTGTTGATGAATGTGTGATGCATAGCCTTTGTCTGGCAATTGCAGTTTGCACTGTAGGCTAGTTCAAAACAACCAAAATAGCTAAGTAAAGTAGGGAAATGTATGTAAACATAATTTTGAGGTTTTAACATAGTAATTTTTTATTTTTTTTTTCATGGCTATGAGTAAACATGTAATTACCTGTTGAATTATTGACCTTTGCCTTTGGGATGTGAATAATCTGTGTTCAGTTATCAAGAAGGATCTGCAGGTACTGTATCTTTAACCGGAGGCAAACACAGAGCACAGAATTTGAATTGTGCTTTTATCATTGGAAAGAGCCATAAAACTACTATGGCCTTCTCAATTTATGACCAGGTGATGAATGCTGACCGTGATGAACTTATATATATATATAGAGCAAGAGGCATGCCTTCTTCAACACAATCTGCCTTCAGTCCTCGAAAGAGCAGTGGTGAGTTGTCTGCCAGTTATTTTCAGGTTCATTTGGGTGACTAACAACAGGAATCATTTCCAGCCGAGAATTTGTTTATAGTTTGAGCCAGTGGGTTTGAGCAAACTGATCAATGTCCTACAGCTCTAGCCACCTGTTTTAAGTTTCAGTGTGTCATACAAATACTCATTGAATGATACAATGAGATATAATAAAATAAAACAAATTCAATCATTTATTGAAATTTAAGTTAGCCTAAATGGGGGACTGAATAGGTCTAAATTGATTGTGGTAAGAAAGACCAAATGTCTTGTCACGATGTTACCTATTCTATGTCCATATTGCGCAACTCCTTCTCTATCTCTTCTTTACAGGTTGTTGAAGGAGTAAGTGGTATTTGCAGTAGATAACATTCAGGGAAGAATGGCTTCTGACATGGACTCCAACACTGCTGGTGTGCAATACAACCGCTGGAATGAAGACAACATCAATCTGAATGTGGCTGGAACAGGTGTAACGGGGTAAGCTCTGAGGAAGACTCATGACTGGGTGACAGTAGATATAATTAGTGTTGTTCTTACTATTATAGGGTACCCCTTGTTTATTATCACAGGGGATAGGCTATACAAATTATAGTGAAGGACAATGTTGTAGGCAGTTCAAGAAACACTTACTTTACTTTCAATTAAGGTATATGAAGTTGAACATTGTATTCAGTGCAGTGTTTCCTCCCTTTAATCCTAGTTGATTAACTTTTCCAAATTCTGACCCCTTGAGTTTACTGATAGTGTATGGACTGACCCAAACTGTAATCACTGGCCATATTATGACATGACATGTTCTGCTCCCCAAAGGCTCTACAACAGAGTCTGCACTGGCACCCTGGGCATAGCTATCAAGGTGGCCGGAGCTTTGGCTGCACTGGTGGCTGTTTACGTCATAGGATACGTCACTGGATATTATGTCCACAAATGCTGACTGGCCACTGACCGAAGGACCCTCAACAGATGGAATTATGTAATGTAGGGATTGTGTTGGGATTGCAGTTTGCTTGTTGTAAAGTGATTTTACAGCTTCATCTTATATGTTAAATGTCATTGCAATTAAGTCCAAAAACATGAACATAATGTTTGACTTACAGTGCTTGGTATTCAATATGTTCTTGTCACTAAGTGATATTATCTATTTCAATTATTTTTTCAAGATTGTACAACAGGGCTTGTTTTGTTAGCCTATTCAACTGTATATCAAGGCCATGTGGATTCAATATTTTAATGAAAGGACAGGCAATACTAATAAAAAAGCTATTGATAATATGTTAATTACCTGTGTTATTCAACAAACATGGTGTGGTAAATACGCTGTCAAACAAGCTGTTTGCCTCTTGACAAGGACTAGAAAATGTTTTATTTAGGTATATGTGCAATTGATTTCAGTATTGAGGTGTCATCTGCAAATATATCAAACCTAATCATCATTACAAAAATACACTTTAATATATTTATTTTCTCACCTCAAATCCATCAAGTCTGCAAAGAGAAATATAATTTACTGAACAAAAATATGAACGGAACATGTAGTGTTGGTCCCATGTTTCATGAGGGGCGCACATCCGAGAAATGTACCATATGCATCAACATATTATTTTGTGCACAAATTGGTTTATATCCCTGTCAGTGAGCACCATGTGCTGGAGACAATAGAAGGCCACTTTAAAATGTGCAGTTTTGTCACAACACAATGCCACAGATGTCTCAAGTTGAGGGATCGTGCAATTGACATGCTGACTGCAGGAATGTCCACCAGAGCTGTTCCAGAGAATGTAATGTTATTTTCTCTACCATAAGCCGCCTGACAACCGCAGACCACGTGTAACCACGCCAGCCCAGGACCTCCACATCCGGCTTCTGCACCTGCGGGATCGTCTGAGACCAACCACCCAGACTGCTGATGAAACTGAGGAGTATTTCTGTCTGTAATGAAGCCCTTTTGTGGGGAAAAACTCACTCTGATTGGCTGGGCCTGGCCCCCCAGCGGGTGGGCCTGGCCCCTGCCCAGTCATGTGAAATCCATAGATTAGGGCCTAATGAATTTATTTCAATTGACTGATTTCCTTATATGAACTGTAACTCAGTCAAATTGTTGAAATTATTGCATGTTGTGTTTATATTTTTGTTCAGTATAAATGACAGTAAAAAAAAAACCATCTGTCATCTGGTTGCTCAACCTCATCAAATCAGAACAACTACAGTGGGGAAAAAAAAATATTTAGTCAGCCACCAATTGTGCAAGTTCTCCCACTTAAAAAGATGAGAGAGGCCTGTAATTTTCATCATAGGTACACGTCAACTATGACAGACAAAATGAGATTTTTTTTCTCCAGAAAATCACATTGTAGGATTTTTACTGAATTTATTTGCAAATTATGGTGGAAAATAAGTATTTGGTCAATAACAAAAGTTTCTCAATACTTTGTTATATACCCTTTGTTGGCAATGACACAGGTCAAACGTTTTCTGTAAAGATTTTCACACACTGTTGCTGGTATTTTGGCCCATTCCTCTATGCAGATCTCCTCTAGAGCAGTGATGTTTTGGGGCTGTTGCTGGGCAACACAGACTTTCAACTCCCTCCAAAGATTTTCTATGGGGTTGAGATCTGGAGACTGGCTAGGCCACTCCAGGACCTTGAAATGCTTCTTACGAAGCCACTCCTTCGTTGCCCGGGCGCTGTGTTTGGGATCATTGTCATGCTGAAAGACCCAGCCACGTTTCATCTTCAATGCCCTTGCTGATGGAAGGAGGTTTTCACTCAAAATCTCACGATACATGGCCCCATTCATTCTTTCCTTTACACGGATCAGTCGTCCTGGTCCCTTTGCAGAAAAACAGCCCCAAAGCATGATGTTTCCACCCCAATGCTTCACAGTAGGTATGGTGTTCTTTGGATGCAACTCAGCATTCTTTGTCCTCCAAACACGACGAGTTGAGTTTTTACCAAAAAGTTATATTTTGGTTTTATCTGACCATATGACATTCTCCCAATCCTCTTCTGGATCATCCAAATGCACTCTAGCAAACTTCAGACGGGCCTGGACATGTACTGGCTTAAGCAGGGGGACACGTCTCGCACTGCAGGATTTGAGTCCCTGGCGGCGTAGTGTGTTACTGATGGTAGGCTTTGTTACTTTGGTCCCAGCTCTCTGCAGGTCATTCACTAGGTCCCCCCGTGTGGTTCTGGGATTTTTGCTCACCGTTCTTGTGATCATTTTGACCCCACGGGGTGAGATCTTGCGTGGAGCCCCAGATCGAGGGAGATTATCAGTGGTCTTGTATGTCTTCCATTTCCTAATAATTGCTCCCACAGTTGATTTCTTCAAACCAAGCTGCTTACCTATTGCAGATGCAGTCTTCCCAGCCTGGTGCAGGTCTACAATTTTGTTTCTGGTGTCCTTTGACAGCTCTTTGGTCTTGGCCATAGTGGAGTTTGGAGTGTGACTGTTTGAGGTTGTGGACAGGTGTCTTTTATACTGATAACAAGTTCAAACAGGTGCCATTAATACAGGTAACGAGTGGAGGACAGAGGAGCCTCTTAAAGAAGAAGTTAGAGGTCTGTGAGAGCCAGAAATCTTGCTTGTTTGTAGGTGACCAAATACTTATTTTCCACCATAATTTGCAAATAAATTCATTAAAAATCCTACAATGTGATTTTCTTCTTCTCAATTTGTCTGTCATAGTTGACGTGTACCTATGATGAAAATTACAGGCCTCTCTCATCTTTTTAAGTGGGAGAACTTGCACAATTGGTGGCTGACTAAATACTTTTTCCCCCACTGTATATCCTTTATTTTATTTGTTTCCCTCATAGATTATTTTTATGGTGGCATTATCTTGCTCCTCCACAGTATTTACGCTATGCATTTCATCATCTGATAAGGAAAATAAGGTGGAGTTGACTTTCAAGACCCATTCTGCAATTCTCTGGTCTGTATAATAATCTTCATCATCGGGACAAAGAGAGTCTATGACAGTCTTGCTGGTATCTTTGTTTTCAGAGCACTGGGATTCTGTTTTAATAGCCAAGTCGTCAGAGGAGACATCTCTCTGCTGTTTTGTTTCACAGATACTGGCATCATGTTTAAGTCTCTCCGTCATCACCCCACTGTCGTTGGCACTAGGGTTACTCACATAATTTCCCCGTTGCCTTACAAACGGGTCTGTTGGTGAGAAACTTGATGCCACAGCTGGCTGGGCCCCAAAGGTCCCCTTGGTGCAGTCTAGTTTGGAGCGAGTGTCTGGGTTCTGGACGGAATCTTTTGTAGACCTATTCAACATGGTTAGACTACCACTAACTAACCCAGCTTTGTTAGTCATTTGACAACCCTGCGCACGTCGAGCAACCAGTACTCGAAATACTGTATTTTCCCTCCTTATACCAGAGGTTGACAAGTGTGTGTCTCCATTGTCATGTAGTGCCCCGGCGGGTCTTGCAGAGCGAAATGGCACATTTGCACACTCCGCCTTACCAGCAATGATTCTTGATCCAGTGATGGGTGGCAGAAGGATGCTCTGGGTGATAGCAGCTGTGCTTGCACGTCCTAGTTTATTTTGAATCATTAAATGCCTAGAACAAGTAAGATATTCATTTGGATTTGTTATCTTTGGAGCTGGTCTCAGGTTAGCTTTCGCTTGAGCAGGGTCTCCTCGAGGAGCATTCGGCCTGTCAATCCGTTGCACATTAATCTCCAAGTACTGCATCTCCTTTTCACTAATGCTTCTCCACCGTGACTTTTTCTCCCTGCTTGTATCCGACCAGGCTTGCTTCTTCTGCACTCTGTAAGTACTTTTCATAGCTCCAATGAATGGGTTGCCTTAAATGGAAACTTGCATCTTGTGTCGAGTAGTCCGACTCTGTCCTTGACGGATAGGACACCTAACTGCAATTCTCTGGCTATTCTTTTATACTATGTGTGTGTGTCTTTGAGACACTCACCCCCCAACCCTTACTGGACACTTGATATGTAATAGTACCCCACACTTTTTAGTTAACCTGTGAATACCCAAGCAGTCAAAAGGGCCATTCACCATGCATGCACATTAACTGACAAATGGAGGCATTTATGAAACCAAGCATTCCTGAAATTATCAAGAAAATAGGATAAATGTTTCTACCCAGAACAAAGCATTGGCTTTCAACATGTGCAATAAAGAAATGCATAACCACTGCTGCCCTCAAGGTTCAATTTATTTTAGAGATCTTTTAAATATTAGACATTATACACATTCCCTGCCCTTAATTTATTAAAGCGGGTAATGGAAAAAGGTTTTATTCTTGTTTCAGTTCACAAATGTTAAATGTTGTCATTAACTATGTCTACAATCTACAGACCACACAGGCTTGCTACAGACTTAACAGTTATTGTGAGTTACCTTTAGTGTGTAGCAATATAAAAATAAGTATACAAAAACATGACAATATTTTAGGTTGGGTAGGTAGTTTAATTATTCTATACCTTAGTACAGGCGAAGCTGTTTGTACGTGCCAAATAGTAATCAAGAACTTTCCGGAAGGCTATAATTGCACTACTTCCATGTTTGGAAATGAGTGGATGTAATCGGCTTTGCTTACCAAGGGAACAGTGGCAACTCATATACAGTATTGTGATTTTAACTGTGTGAGACTAAGTCAAATATAAATCAAAAGGCTGGTTGTTGCGCAACTACCAGATGACGTTCAGGTTGCCGACGTCGGTGGAGAGGTCCGTTTTGGATGGGTAGACGACCTTGAGGTTCCCGTCAGGGTCCACGGTGCGAACCTGCTGGATGACCAGCTCACCTGAGGTGGTACCATCGGAGGCAGGGACTGGGGGTGCATCCGACTCTCCCTCTGATCCAGCCTCCTCTCTGTGATCCGACGTGAACTTGTTCAGCTCCGCCATTTTCTGAGAAGGGAATGGAGAGAGATGTGTTAATTGCTGACCATTGGGACCATGTGGATGAGGTCTATTTGAGAAAGTAAACTAGAGCAGGGGTCGGCCACAATTGAGTATGTTTGTAAAAAAAACAAATGTAGGATTGTAGTTTGGGTCAAAAGAAGACTAAAATCACCAGGAATTCAGCAACAACAAAAAAGATTGTCTCAATGTAATCAATGTATGAAATGATTGTTATTTTCAAATAAAATCTATTTTTGGGCTTAGTTGTGGTCAATTTGCAATGTACAAATTATTATAATTGTGTTCCGGTCTCCAAACCATCCGCTCCAAGAAAAAAATTGGCCTGCGGTTGAATCTAGTTGCCTACCCCTTTGAGGATGGTTGTTGAATTGAGATTTGAAGGGTGGATTGAAAATCTGTACACATTTAATATTGTGTGTAAGTAGAAACAAGATAATATGTATAACCTCAAAGTCTTTACATTCTCCTAATTTTATTTCTTAAGCAATGGCAGCAAATTGGGTTGAAGGTATTGTAAACTTCTTACTAACTTGTCCCGCTCGACTCATGTTTGTTGACACAGTAAAATACACTGCTCAAAAAAATAAAGGGAACACTTAAACAACACATCCTAGATCTGAATGAATGAAATAATCTTATTAAATACTTTTTTCTTTACATAGTTGAATGTGCTGACAACAAAATCACACAAAAATTATCAATGGAAATCAAATTTATCAACCCATGGAGGTCTGGATTTGGAGTCACCCTCAAAATTAAAGTGGAAAACCACACTACAGGCTGATCCAACTTTGATGTAATGTCCTTAAAACAAGTCAAAATGAGGCTCAGTAGTGTGTGTGGCCTCCACGTGCCTGTATGACCTCCCTACAACGCCTGGGCATGCTCCTGATGAGGTGGCGGATGGTCTCCTGAGGGATCTCCTCCCAGACCTGGACTAAAGCATCCGCCAACTCCTGGACAGTCTGTGGTGCAACGTGGCGTTGGTGGATGGAGCGAGACATGATGTCCCAGATGTGCTCAATTGGATTCAGGTCTGGGGAACGGGCGGGCCAGTCCATAGCATCAATGCCTTCCTCTTGCAGGAACTGCTGACACACTCCAGCCACATGAGGTCTAGCATTTTCTTGCATTAGGTGGAACCCAGGGCCAACTGCACCAGCATATGGTCTCACAAGGGGTCTGAGGATCTCATCTCGGTACCTAATGGCAGTCAGGCTACCTCTGGCGAGCACATGGAGGGCTGTGCGGCCCCCTAAAGAAATGCCACCCCACACCATGACTGACCCACCGCCAAACCGGTCATGCTGGAGGATGTTGCAGGCAGCAGAACGTTCTCCACGGCGCCTCCAGACTCTGTCACGTGCTCAGTGTGAACCTGCTTTCATCTGTGAAGAGCACAGGGCGCCAGTGGCGAATTTGCCAATCTTGGTGTTCTCTGGCAAATGCCAAACGTCCTGCACGGTGTTGGGCTGTAAGCACAACCCCCACCTGTGGACGTCGGGCCCTCATACCACCCTCATGGAGTCTGTTTATGACCGTTTGAGCAGACACATGCACATTTGTGGCCTGCTGGAGGTCATTTTGCAGGGCTCTGGCAGTGCTCCTCCTGCTCCTCCTTGCACAAAGGCGGAGGTAGCGGTCCTGCTGCTGGGTTGTTGCCCTCCTACGGCCTCCTCCACGTCTCCTGATGTACTGGCCTGTCTCCTGGTAGCGCCTCCATGCTCTGGACACTACGCTGATAGACACAGCAAACCTTCTTGCCACAGCTCGCATTGATGTGCCATCCTGGACGAGCTGCACTACCTGAGCCACATGTGTGGGTTGTAGTCTCCGTCTCATGCTACCACTAGAGTGAAAGCACTGCCAGCATTCAAAAGTGACCAAAACATCAGCCAGGAAGCATAGGAACTGAGAAGTGGCCTGTGGTCACCACCTGCAGAACCACTTCTTTATTGGGGGTGTCTTGCTAATTGCCTATAATTTCCACCTGTTGTCTATACCATTTGCACAACAGCATGTGAAATGTATTGTCAATCAGTGTTGCTTCCTAAGTGGACAGTTTGATTTCACAGAAGTGTGATTGACTTGGAGTTACATTGTGTTGTTTAAGTGTTCCCTTTATTTTTTTGAGCAGTGTATATAGGGGAAATATAGGACAAGCACTTCCAGAGCAGGAAGTCTCATCTCAACAGTGCAACCTACACTGACCAGGTGAATCCAGGTGATCCCTTATTGATATCCCTTGTTAAATCCACTTCAAATCAGTTTAGATGAAGGGGAGGAGACAGGTTAAATAAGGATTTTTAAACTTTTGAGACAATTGAGACATGGATTGTGTATGTGTGCCATTCAGAAGGTGACTCTCATAACCTGACCTCAAATCCCTCCTTCAATCACCACACCCAATCAAAACCGTACCCTCTCTCAATAATGGTTATTCTAGAGTAGGAATCAGAGTGTGGATTAAACCCTTATCGGCTGCTTTTGTTTCGACATGGCTGTTATTGAAACGTGTCTGCTGCTGTGTGTACTGGTGGGTGCGAGGCACACAGGCAGCTCTAGGGTTGCAATCGTATTGTGAGCCGTAGTTTAGGCGGTGACACCGGACACCTCCGGGCCAGTCGCCCCGGGCCGATGAGCTCACTTATTCCACTGAGGGCCAGGATCCAGACGTCAAACCAGCACAACACCCTGAGACTGAGCATGAGACCCGGTGTCATGACACTTATCTGCTCTCGCCAGCCACTGTGTGTGTCTGACTGATGCATGCATGTGTAAATGTTGTTCAATTCATGCAATCAACGGCTGTATGTGTTATGTATGTGCATTGCAATGTAGGATTCAGTCCTACTGTATGTCTCTGTATACAGGGAAAGAGCTGAGCTTACCACTATGAGAGCATCCATCACTTCTTTACAGATCTGCAGGCTGGTAGAACTGGTCACTTCTAAGAAAAGCTCCTTAGTCGTCTTCCTGATCTATAATATGCGACAAAGATACAGTACATCACTTGTATGTAATATTGTCTCCAGCTAAAGCAGCCTACTATTTTTTATCTAATTAATCCAATCTGTAAAAAGGGATGACAGGATAGAGTTGATAGTAAGATATGTCCAACTGGCATTAGAAAATAAATACATTGAATAAATGCATTGCCACCTGTAAGTCTATTCAACTTTCTTATCTATGCATGTAATACTCACTTGAACTTATAGGCTACTATCTCAAAGTTCGGAATAAGGGATCAGAACTCAATAATAGAAGCAGGAAATCTTCAGATAAGACAACATCTGGTTGCATCATCAACTAACAGTCTTAAAAGTCAGCATTTGATTTCAAGGCTAAGCACTATTCTCAAGCTCAATTTATTGCAACCCGGATGTAAGTATGTCCGCAATTAAGGAAGCAATAAAGATACATATTTGATTCTTTATCTGGTGTGGCTGCAATTTAAAGCTTCCAAAGTCAAAGTCCTGAAGGTGTGCAAAGTCTAAGGGAAAGTACAATTCAGCAAGGTTTTAGACTGCATTCTACACTGCTGGGCCTCTATTGGTAGGCTAAATGTAGATATTGAGAACATAAAGATTTATTCTAAATCATAACTATGACTTTTCTATTGGTAGCTGTATTGTGAATGCACTGCTGGATCAGCAAGTGTTAAGCGTATGAGTGTGAGTAGAGCAGTGACCTGTGAGAAAGGCACCTGTCCTTGGTCTGATAAAGATCACACACCGCACCTTGGTTTTCTCGCTGTTGGTGATTGGTGGAAATGAGATCACATGATCCTCTGCATCTACCAGACATGGGTAGAGTTCTTTTCCATCAAGAAGCTGCAGGTATCTGAGTAAAAGAAAAAAGCCACATAACTTGAGCTGAGAAACAATGGCTAAAGTGTAATAATTGCCCTCATGCCAACGATGGCTACAATAGCCAACATAACCCTTTCATAACAGCATATTGTAAGGTCTACACCCATACTCATGGTGCAGATTGAATTGACATTTGAGCTCTTTGAAAACTCCCCAAAATACTGTGTCATGTTATTAAGAAGTTATTTACTTAGGTCTACCTTAATTTACCTAATCTCATTTACCTTATTCAACCTAACCTTGTAAATAATTATGTAATCTCTATTGCTGTCAATATCTTTACAGAAAATGGGTGAACTAAACTCCATGGTAGGTCCTAAAAACAACAGTCCACAAATTCTCATACACATACATAATAAAGGAGTCCGTCTATTTACTTCAACATAGTGGCAACATGGTTTCAGTTTCAAAGCCTTATGGCGCCCTCATGTGTTGAATGAGCAACCTAATCATTTCGCCTTTGTTTTGAGCTCCTGAAACGAATGAAGTGCTTGACAAAAACAATGCATTACTGTGTAGGACACAACACCAACATACTGTAAATGGAAAATGAAATAATAGGAAATGAAATAATAGGAATTCATTTATTACTACGCCATAACAATTAAAGGGGCAATCAGCAGTTGCGACATACATTTATGACCGATATGTACCCATTAATTCTTAAAGAATATAACTTAGAAATGCCTCATGAGCTTAGTTTAACTGTCGTACCCCATCAGAACCCAAAATATAAACTTGTTTTAGTCCAATGTTTGTAAACAAAGTAAATGTAAACAAACACTGTATAGCCTCAAAACATGGTTAACTACACTGAACAAAAATATAAATGCAACATGCAACAATTACAGTTTATATAAGGAAATCAGTCAATTTAAATAAATTCATTAGGCCCTAATCTATGGATTTCACATGACTGGGAATACAGATATGCATCTGTTGGTCACAGATACCTTTAAAAAAGGTAGGGGCGTGGATCAGAAATCCAGTCAGCATCTGGTGTGACCACCATTTGCCTCATGCAGCACGACACATTTCCTTTGCATAGAGTTGATCAGGCTGTTGATTGTGGCCTGTGGAATGTTGCCCCAGTCTTCAATTGCTGTGCTAAGTTGCTGGATATTGGCAGGAACTGGAACACGCTGTCGTACAGGTCGATCCAGAGCATCCCGAACATGCTCAATGGGTGACATTTCTGCTGAGTATGCAGGCCATGAAAGAACTGGGACATTTTCAGCTTCCAGGAATTGTGAACAGATCCTTGCGACATGGGGCTGTGCATTATCATGCTGAAACATGAGGTGATGGCGGCGGATGGCACGACAACGGGCCACAGGATCTCGTCACGGTATCTCTGTGCATTCAAATTGCCATCGATAACATGAAATTGTGTTCGTTGTCCGTAGCTTATGCCTGCCCATCCCATAACCCCACCGCCACCATGGGGACTCTGTTCACAATATTGACATCAGCAAACTGCCTTCTGCCCGGTACAGTTAAAAACCGGGATTTATCTGTGCCAGTGGCCACCGAAGGTGTGCTTTTGCCCACAGAAGTCGGTTATGACGCCGAACTGCATTCAGGTCAAGACCCTGGTGAGGATGACGAGCAGGCAGATGAGCTTCCCTGAGACGGTTTCTGACAGTTTGTGCAGAAATTATTTGGTTGTGCAAACCCACAGTTTCATCAGCTGTCCAGGTGGCTGGTCTCAGACGATTCCGCAGGTGAAGAAGCCGGTATGTAATGATCATGCTGTTTAATCAGCTTCTTGATATGCCACACCTGATGGATTATCTTGGCAAAAGAGAAATGCTCACTAACAGGGATGTAAACATATTTGTGCACAACATTTGAGAGAAATACGCTTTTTGTGCGTATGGACAATTTCGGGGTTCTTTTCATTTCAGCTCATGAAACATGGGACCAACACTTTCATGTTGCGCTTATATTTTTGTTCAGTATATAATTTTGACATCATGGATGGTCAGTCCTTGCATGCATAGCTCTGTCTATGAATTTGAGAGTGATTACATTTTTCCATTCCCATCCCTTAGTTTTTACCAAAAAACCCCACTTTGTTATTGTTTTAACTGCTGATTGGACCTTTAAATGACGTTGCACGAGCAGCCCCGCAGATATTGCGATGAGCCACTAGGAGTGTAACGGTTTGACAAACGCACGGTTCGGTAGTATTGCGGTTTTCGGGTCACCGTTCGGGAAAATTAAATGCCATCCACAATGTTCCTGGCATTGTCTGTTGTGACCGGATTGTTATGTTGGGCCTCTCAAGTTTTCACACTGATGCTGCGTTTGTAACCATGTGGGAGTTGGGAATTTACCGGTTGTGATGTCGTAAATACCCGTTGGATACATTCATGTGATTTGAACTGGTTGAGAAACGCAGATTGGCTCATGGACAACAAGCTTCATCCACCATAAAATAAAAGTGCATCTATCATGCTTGTAAACAAATAATAGAGTTCAGAAACCACATTAATAGATTGCTTTTTATAAATAATGTTTTGTTGTTGTATTCAATTGCTGAAAATGCTGTTATAGAGGACATTTTCTTAGTAGGTGATGTCAGGTGTCACCATGTGGGAGAAGTGGGTGCTTAAGATGATAGACAAGTTTTCCACTAGTAATTACCAGTTGGAGGGCCGTTCAAGTGGATTTTTTCAGTCATATGTGATAAATTCCCACTTCCATCTTGGTTACGAACACAACATGACACTGTTTCCTTCAGTGCCATATGAGCACTTGTGTCTCTCATACAGGGGGCGTGTCTGTAGCACAGTACATCTCCCACTCTGGGGAAATGTGATGGGCTGTCACTGTTAAGTAAGCTCAACACAGGATGCATTGGCCAATTCACTGAAAACTTTGGCTTGGCTTTTTTAGAGCGGGTACCAGTTTGCTGAATTCGGTGCAAGAGGGAAGTTCGTAACGTGGTTCGAGCACTTTCACGAGGTGCTCCCTGAAACCCCCCTATTTTTAACCACAGAATGGGCGCATATGCGCGGCTATAAACCAAAAACTGTAAAATATATATAAACACAGCCTACCTATCTCTCTTGTAATTTATTTGGCCCGGTCAGAATTAGCTGCTTGAATGCAGAGGTGAGATGTGTTGTGTTGTTGTTTCTTTGTGTTTCCGTCTTGCTCCGGTATACTGGGGTGATGTCGGCGTAAATATGTCAACATATTTGAGGTGTTGGCAGCTGCATAGGCTATTCTCGTTGAGTGTGGCGACATACTATCAACATATTTTTCCACAACTCTCTGTCCATCGCCGTTGTAATCTACTAGGAAGCCAAAATGTTTCCAAACTGGAGATTTAAAAGATGATGGACAGAGGATCCTCCAATTCTGGTTTATCGACACCACCACTGGCCATCGTACAGAACTAGTTCCCGGCTGTCTCACAAAAGGGCAGTTTGAAATGAGCCAATGAAGATTATACATACTTATTACAATGCGTGCATAGGCTCTAGTTGTCTTAACGCAATAGCCTGAAATGTTTTTTTTTTTTTGCTCAGATTTACTCAAGAGGCATAGGTCTCCAATTAATACATTAAATGAATACATTAAAAATACATATTTACAAAATACAAGCTAAGACTATGTCTATCCTGCGTAGGCATAGCCTATAGGCCTAACTTTTATTTTGTAAATACATTTTTTTCTTATGTATTCATTCGGATTCACAGTGCGGAACGAACCGAGGTCCCCATACAGAACGGGTCGGTACAAATACCCCTCCTTTTTTTGCCCCCTCCTTTTAATAACAAACAAAAAAGAATGGGCATCAGGCCGACTGCAGCTTTGGGCTGCGTTTCCGATTCTACATCCTCCAGAAGTGTGCACTTTTATACTTCCTGTCATGGATTTATAAGCATTGAATTGGTGTAATCATTGGCTGTATAGAGTTTCCATCATCGTTAAATCCATGAAGGGAAGTCTGCAAATATACACTTCGGGAGAAGAGAGTAAAATCTGGACTCACCTATACTTTCAGCTCTGCCTTAAAGACAGGTGTTAATACTCACTTGTGGAGGCCAGACACATTTTGCCTCTTCCTCTGTTTCCGCTGGTCCTCTGCCTCTAGCTGCAGCTGCCTCATCAGCTCCACCGCAGTCATCTCCTTACGGCCCAGGGGGACTATCTAGTAAACAACATTTTATGAGAGGGAGTTTATGAGAGATTTATGCTCTTTTCAAAAGATCCTTTGCTTGTTAGAATAACCATGAATGGGACCAAAATGCTTTGACACAAACCTGAATGCAGTTAATGAATACAATGATTTGTTAATATGCCAAGAGTGACAGGCAACGACTAGCAACAATTATTTTGTGTTCAAACTGTTGAGGTGAAGCCGCATGAAGGTCTTTCAATTACAGACTGATGTCACTATAACAGTTGGCTTGTTGCCTGGCTTTGGCAAAAAATATGTTTAAAAGGATCATGAATTATTAAGAATGGAATAATGTTATGGCTCACAACTGCTGATTAAAACTGTACTTCAAAATACTGGATTCTATTCAAGAAAACAGAGGTATTATGTCCAATAGAAAAATAGCCTTCTTATATTCTCCAGAGACATGACACTGTCTGCATAAACTACTTGAACAAAGACATGGAACAAGGTCCTGAGAAATGTAATCATAAACCAATCAAATGAAAAGAGTTTGAAATACCTTGGAAAAACACATACTGTAGTGAGCAATACATTTCGAACATATCGAATCGCAATACATATAGAATACGTAGAATCGCAATACATAGTGTCGGCACCTAAGTATCATGATAATATAGTATCGTGAGGTCCCTGGCAATTCCCAGCCCTAATATAAGATCAAGAAGTTAGTCGTAGTAAATGTGTCAGACGTAAATGTGTTTTTTAATTCCATCTCAGAGCGACTTACACTTGAGAATTTGTGGCTGTCTAACGTTGTATGAGCAGAATTTCATGCAATATGTCATACCTTTAACATAGGAGGTGGTCTGGCATCATACATGAGAGGTCCCTTGAGTAGCTGCATGTCGTGTGTTGCGATGGTCGCAGTTGTCCTTTTACCACATAGGTCATCGTGAAGTTTGGTCTAAAACACAACAGGTAAGAGAGAAAGAGTGGTGAAAACTGAATAATGCAAAAGAGACATATCGATCATAGGCTATGTAACATAATATATAGAGGATGTTGAGCTTGTGTCAGTTCATGAGCTTGAGCAGTGGTGTAAAGTACTTCAGTAAAAAATACTTTAAAGTACTACTTAAGTAGTTTTTTGGGGTATCTGTACTTTACTATTTATATTTTTTGCCAACTTTTACTTCACTACATTCCTAAAGAAAAGAATGTACTTTTTACTCCATACATTTTCCCTGACACCAAAAAGTACTTGTTACATGTTGACACGAAAGTGGTCCAATTCATGCACTTATCAAGAGAACATCCCTGGTCATACCTACTGCCTCTGATCTGTTGGACTCACTAAACACAAATGCTTAGTTTGTAAATTTTGTTGGCGTGTGCCTCTGGCTATCTGTAAATAAAAAATTACAAACATTGTGCCATCTGGTTTGCTTAATATAAGGAATTTGAAATAATGTATACGTTTACTTTTGATACTTAAGTATATTTAAAACCAAATAATTTTAAACTTTTACTGGGTAACTTTCACTTGAGTCATTTTCTATTAAGGTATCTTTACTTTTACTCAAGTATGACAATTGAGTACTTTTTCCACCACTGAGCTTGAGTTTATTTTGTAGCGTGTTCTTAGTCTGTTTCTGCATTCACAAACTACTAGCCTACATAGTTTCCTTGCCAAATATGACTGTCAAAGACCGCAACATAGGAGTTGACTAACGCAGAAACAGACTGGTACCAAGGCTAACGTGTTCTCATCTCTGAACAACATTACCTGTGCAACGAGGAACCTCTTGAGCGCATTCCCGGACCTGAAGTTCATGCCTCTGACCACACAGCACACCAAGTACGGCCTCACATCCTTCAGTTCGTTGGCCACCTTTACAGTGAACGCACCGGGGTTGTCAGACACGTGAAGCACCTTCACCACCAGCCGGTTCAACTCATCCACCTCATCCTCCTCCTCCTCGTTCTTCTTCTTTTTCTGCTTGCGCTGCTTTTTGGTCTGGGTCTTCTCTGCATTCCGACCCCCTTCGGCCTTATCCCCGTCCCCGTCGGCCTGCTTACTGCCTTTGCCTTTCCCTCGGCCACCGGCCCGAAGGTAGTCCAGGATGGATTTGGTCTGGCAACCGTTGACCATCTTCTCCAGCCGCTTGTCTTTGAGTTTGTTTCCTTTGAAGTTTATCTCCTTCAGTTTGGAGCAGTCACTCAGCTCGTAGGGGATGTCACTGAGCTTGTTGTTGGATAGATCCAAAACCTGAGAGGAAAATGTTATACTTTTGTTATCATAGTTGAATGTAATAACATGAACTAAGATTAATAACCAAATGGGGCTTTATCCAGGTTTCAGGTGTCTCACCATCTGAGAGGCCTTGTGCCAGGAAAATGTCATGACAGTCTCTGGTTTACGTTTACATTTACGTCATTTAGCAGACACTCTTATCCAGAGCTGATGAGATTAACTGAGAGGTACCCTGTCAATCATGACCATAATTCAGTAGGAATAGAAAATATGCATTTATGAAGTCATGCCACATTTTAGGTAGCAGTGCAATATATTATTATTTCAGTCACAAACCTTTAGAGCAGAGAGCTTGTGAACATCTCCACTCAGCTCTTCTATGGAATTCTCAGAGGCAATGACAGTGCTGAGGAGATCCAGGCGATAGAAGTCATCAGGGAACCGAGTGATGTCATTTTTGGAGATGTTGATGGTAGAGAGCTTCGTGCAATGACACAGTCCATCTGGTAGAGAGTCGATGTTGTTGCAGCTCACGTTGAGTGTATTGAGATCGCTTAGCTGGGTTATCTCTTCAGGCAAAGCTTTCAGGTTGTTGACTGAAATGTCAAGGACTTTCAGGGACTTCAGATTTCCAATGGTTTTTGGAATAGAGGAGAGCTTATTCCTGCAAAGAATCAAGCTTGTAAGGGTGGTCAGATTTTTTATGTCTCCGTGAATTTCTGTCAAACTCGGACATTGGATGATTTCTAGGTAATTTAGGAGCTTGAGAGAATAGATTGTTGAACACAGACCTCCATTAGAGGATATCTTTTCATCGATAACTGCACCTTGCAGAACCAGTTCGCGTCTTTTCTCTTTTGAGGCTTTCTCAATTTCTGGCCAACTCTCTTGACCATCCATGCTGCTACACCAGACCCGGAAAAAGGCAAACTCATGCCACCCGGAAACACTTGAGCACAGACGCTTTAAGCCACCCGGTAACACTTGAGCATAGACGCTTCAAAATGTCTATCTGCCGAATGGAAGACGCAGTGAAATATGCATCGAGCAGTGGAGATCATATGCGCAGTGCACGTGCAGACTGGACACTCAAAAATATTTTGTAAAAACTTCATGGACCACAGTCCTTCGCGGTGAAACGATGGTGCGGCACATGCGCACCTTAGCTTACTAATTGTTGTCATCGGTGGTTATGGAGATGAAATGGGATTTGGGCAAACTGTGAACATTTTTGTAATGTTCATGGTAAGATATATTTGATATATTAGCAGTAACACCATACTTCAATAGGAAATACGTTTGTATTGAAACTGTGGTTTTATTGTGCGTCAGGTGTCACTATATTTATATGAATTCAAGGAGTTTTATGTTACCATTGTAAATAGGAACGAGTTAGCTAACGTTAGCTAGCTAGAACAAGCTAGCTAGCCTGTCTTTAGCTCGCGCTGTCATCAGCTCCTCCAAGATTATTCCTTCCCACCCCGGGAACGTCAGAAGCAAGCAATGCAACGAAATACCATATAGTTAACACGGAGTATTGAAATGTATGCTATTGAACTAATTTGTTTAGGGGCATAAATGTGACATTTTTTAAATTAAATGGCAGAATGATATCCCAGGTTAGCCTACACATCAAATATGAATACGAGTGTGTCCATTGTAGAGGAGTGTAGCTGTCAAGGTTTATCTCAATCCCAGAGTGAAGATTGCTGTCAGTCTTCCATGGTTTATGAGTTTAGGTAGCTAGCTAATTACTGTGCAAATCTATTTGATAGTGAAAGGTGCTTCAGATGATATTCAGTTGTAGATTATGTTATGTTTCTCCATCTTTGATAGTGTGCAGCAGCAAGATGCCTCGGAAGATAGGATTCACCCTGGTCAGTTCCTCCGGTCACGAAGATAACTTCAGTGCCAAGGAGCTGATGGTCCATGCACCTACGGTCAATGGCTGGAGATCTGCCAGGTAGACACTCTCACACACACACACTCTCTCTCACACACACACACACAAACTTATACTGAATCCCAAACCGGTCCCTTCCCCTGGCTCTCAATTTGCACGTTCACATGCGCCTCCGTCATATGCAAGTGTCCCAAAGCTGAGGGAGTGAAATTATCTAGGGTGTAGGGTCTTATTAGATCCTCCGATAGCCACTTCAACCAAGTCAGCAAGGCTGCAGGCTCCAGAGTGAAGTGCTATTCCAACATGCACTGCGATATGTTTGGAGTTTGCGCAGTTTCATACCAAAAATTGCGAGGCGTGCCGAATTATATGACACGTGCGTTTTGTTTGTGTCTGATTTTGAGGCTTGACACATGAAACAAATGAAATACCTCCCAAATTAAATGTTTATCTGTTACTGAGAGTTATATTTTGTTAAACAACAGGGGGAATTTCATGCTCGTTTTATAATTTAAATGTAGAACATGAATTGCATCATTCAAGTCAGGAGTGTGTCCCGAAATTGATGGGTTTATTGATCCCCTCGCCACTTTATTGAAGTCACCTTCTGAGTTTCATCACCAACATGTGACAACGGAGGGCCCTCCAAACAAGTTGGTAGGGGCGAGGGGCTGGTTTGGGATTCACACGCATACACACACACAACACACATTGCTTTTAGATCTGTTTTTCAGTAATGTACTGTAAGTGCAGTACTAGAAGTACCAACCTCACTGTTTCCTTCCATAGGTTCTGTCCATACCCTCAGCAGGTCACTTTGCAGTTGTCAGAGCGGAGTCGGGTCCGTAAGCTGCAGCTGCTTGCCCACCAGTACCTGATATCAGGCAAAATAGAGTTCCACATCGGGGACCGACTGCCAGAGGCCGACTCACCTGGTCTCTCTGGGCCCCTCCGCAGGCTAGGGTGAGTCAGTAGAACCAGCGAAAATAGATGTCTGCCTGACACAGATGAGTCATATTCATTAGGCACCAAAAGCAAGAAAATGGACTAAATCAGGGAGGGAGTATCAGAACTTGTCTGATAGAAAATGTGTGTTCTTGTTTTCTGTTGCAAAACATTTTGCTATGGTGTACCCTAATGTATATGAGTCTGGCTTAGTTGGTTGTCATGTTTCTATGGAGCATGGTGCTGTGAACACAAAGGTTGTGAGTTCAATTCCCACTTGACACACATATAGTATTGAATATACATGCTGAACTTCAGCATCTGTTATTTCTAAGTAACTATATTACTATTATGATATATAGGCCTACATTTTCATCATATGTACTGCATTGTCATTACAAGAAAGGTGCACAGTAATAGGAATTGATATGCAACTTTTGCCATAGGTATGTTTCTCTATCGGACAATGAGAAAACAGGCTTCAAAGCCCGGGAGCTGAAGTCTGTTCACGTGGACGCCATTGGAACTTACATCCGTATAACCTTTCACAGAAACCATGTCAACCGCTACAACCTTTACAACCAGGTACTCCACCATGTTTCACTCACAGTCAATCACTACTTACCGGTACTACTACACATAAAGTCCTTCCCCTTAAAATGTTAATTTAACTTACATACTACCATGTTCATAACATTTTATAGTTTATTCAATTTTTTTCCCATAGACTTTTGTTTATCATTTCAGGTTGCATTGGTTGCCATTAATGTTTTGGGAGATTCTGTGGATGGCACTGCTGTTGACACAATTGTAAGTGGTCGCTCTTTAATGTATATTTAAGGTGCAGTATTACTGTGAAACACCAGATGGAGCTGCTGTACTAGTATTTGTGTGAGGCTCCCAATTTGAAAATTTCTTGATAAATGTTTTTATTAGCACAGCCTATTTGATTTCATTACTTGTCCATAAGCATTTAACCCACGACGGTGAGTATGACTAACTATATACACATTATAGGCCTACATTGTTCTGCAGATAATCCTAGTCGATATTTCTGAATATTGTGGTCCTCCTGTAGCTGAGTTGGTAAAGCATGGCTCTTGCAACGCCAGGATAGTGGGTTCGATTGCTGGGACCACCCATAAGTAAAAGAAGCTATGCACCCAAGACTGTAAATCGCTTTGGATTAAAGCGTCTGCTAATTGGCATATATATATTTTTGGTGTTATGTGTTTCCATAATATGTATTTATGTATAGAGAAAATAGAAAGCCCTTTTTTCCACTGTTGTGTTGCATGTACAATGCACCAGACAAAACAACCATGTTTCTTGTGTCATGTGGTCACTGTGTTGCCTGTAATCGTATTGTTGTCACGTGCTTGCCTGACGGCATGGGCAGGAATTGTAATCTGACTCAGCAATATCACAGAAGGACACCACTGATCAGTAGACTGAGGTGACAGCCCTGGAGAGCCACTCCGGGGGAGTCCCTAGCTGCAGATAAGAATGCTCCCTCCCTCCCAGTCTACCTTAACCATAATGTGAAATGCAAAGCTGGATGCATCTGTTTCCCTACCCAGTGCCCCCTTACCCTCAACACAAGAAGGCGTTCACGGTACAGCTCAATTGTCCACTCTATCCACCTAGAGGCACCTCCACCTGCCCAGTGTTATCTGACTCAGAGGGCAATTGTACGAGGAACTTCACAGAGGAGGTCCATGTTACTGTTCATTCTCTTATTTACAACTAGACTATGCCCCATTCCTGTATACATAATAATGACTCCGTTAACAGTGGTTGTGTGTTTTACTGAGCAGATGACCTGTCTGTGCCTTATGGCTGTGTGTTTTAGAGCCTGTAATTGAGAGAGGTTAATTGTACCTCTGTTTGCCCTCAGCCTAGCAGAAAGCAACTGATTGAGCACTACCTCAACAGCAGTCAGCACGAGACCGCCTTGGATGGAACATACATGGGGTAAGGGTTGAAGGCTCATGGCGCATTGTACTGTGAAGTGCTCTGTGACAATGCTATTTAAACAAAACATTAGCCTTGAAGTTGACATATGATCACCACTCAATTTTCCATTTCCATTTGACAGTTTTTCCTCTTTAGCTTGGACTACAGTCTGTTAACAGTAGATCTGGCTAATGTAGAATCCAGGCTATAGAAAAACACAACTGATGCATCAATTGGAATAGTTGTCAATTAGTCACTCTGAGACTCCAAGATATCATTAACATATTTAGAAAAACAAAACAATATCCCATAGATCAGGGGTAAGCAAATAGATGAAGCCGCGGGCCGATTTTTCTTGGAGCAGATGGTCTAGGGGACCAGAACATCATTATAATATTTAGTACACTGCAAATTGACCACAACTACTGTAAGCCCAAAAATAGATTGTATTTGAAAGCAACAATAATTTCATACATTGAGACATGATCACGTCTCTTTTTTTTTAATATGTGGGAATACTTGGGAACAGATTTCCTGAATTAAACTATTTTTTTTCTGAAATCCTTGTGATTTTTGTCTGACCAAAACCGAAAATCCTAAATATATACAGTACCAGTCAAAAGTTTGGACACACCTACTCATTCCAGGGTTTTTCTTTATTTTTACTATTTTCTACATTGTAGAATAATAGTGAAGACATCAAAACTATGAAATAACACACATGGAATCATGTAGTAACCAAAAAAGTGTGAAACAAATCAAAATATATTTTAGTTTATTCAAAGTAGCCACCCTTTGCCTTGATGACAGCTTTGCACACTATTGGCATTCTCTCAACCAGCTTCATGAGGTAGTCACCTGGAATCCATTTCAATTAACAGGTGTGTCTTGTTAATTTGTGGAATTTCTTTGAGCCAATCAGTTGTGTTGTGACAAGGTAGGGGTGGGATACAGCAGATAGCCCTATTTGGTAAAAGACCAAGTCCATATTATGGCAAGAACAGCTCAAATAAGCAAAGAGAAACAACAGTCCATCATTACTTTAAGACATGAAGGTCAGTCAATCCGGAACATTTCAAGAACTTTTAAAGTTTCTTCAAGTGCAGTCGCAGAAACCATCAAACGCCAGAGTTACCTCTGCTGCAGAGGATAAATTCATTAGAGTTAACTGCACCTCAGATTACAGTTCAAGTAACAGACACATCTCAACATCAACTGTTCAGAGGAAACTGTGTGAATCAGGCCTTCATGGTCAAATTTGCTGCAAAGAAACCACTACTAAAGGACACCAATAAAAAGAAGAGACTTGCTTGGGCCAAGAAACATGAGCAATGGACATTAGACCGATGGAAATCTGTCCTTTGGTCTGATGAGTCCAAATTAGAGATTTTTGGTACTAACCGCCGTGTCTTTGTGAGACGCAGAGTAGGTGAACGGATGATCTCCGCATGTGTAGTTCCCACCGTGAAGCATGGAGGAGGAGGTGTGATGGTGTGGGGGTGCTTCGCTGGTGACACTGTCTGTAATTTATTTAAAATTCAAGGCACACTTAACCAGCATGGCTACCACAGCATTCTGCAGCGATACGCCATCCCATCTGGTTTGGGCTTAGTGGGACTATCATTTGTTTTTCAACAAAACAATGACCCAACACACCTCCAGGCTGTGTAAGGGCTATTTGACCAAGAAGGAGAGTGATGGAGTGCTGCATCAGATGACCTGGCCTCCACAATCCCCCGACCTCAACCCAATTGAGATGGTTTGGGATGAGTCGGACCGCAGAGTGAAGGAAAAGCAGCCAAAAAGTGCTCAGCATATGTGGGAACTCCTTCAAGACTGTTGGAAAAGCATTCCAGGTGAAGTGTGCAAAGCTGTCATCAAGGCAAAGGGTGACTACTTTGAAGAATCTCAAATATAAAATATATTTTGATTTGTTTAACACTTTTTTGGTTACTACATGATTTCATATGTGTTATTTCATAGTTTTTATGTCTTCACTATTATTCTACAATCTAAACAATAATATAAATAAAGAAAAACCCTTGAATGAGTAGGTGTGTTCAAACTTTCGACTGGTAGTGTATGTGTAGATATATATATATATATATATTATATATCTATCAGTGCCTTGCAAAAGTATTCATCCCCCTTGGCGTTTTTCCTATTTTGTTGCATTACAACCTGTAATTTAAATGGATTTTTATTTGGATTTCATGTAATGGACATACACAAAATACTCAAAATTGATGAAGTGAAAAAAATTAAATAAAACTTGTTTAAAAAAATTCTAAAAAATAAATAATGGTACAGTGGTTCATGCATATGTATTCACCCCCTTTGCTATGAAGCCCCTAAATAAGATTTGGTGGAACCAATTACCTTCAGAAGTCACATAATTAGTTAAATAAAGTCCACGTGTGCAATCTAAGTGTCACGTGATCTGTCACATGATCTCAGTGTATATATACACCTGTTCCGAAAGGCCTCAGAGGCGGCACCATGAAGACCAAGGAGCTCTCTGAATAGTTATGCACGCTCAAGTTTTCAGTTTTTTGTCTTATTTCTTGTTTGTTTCACAATGAAAAATATTTTGCATCTTCAAAATGGTAGGCATGTTGTGTAAATCAAATGATACAAACCCCCAAAAAATCCATTTTAATTCCAGGTTGTAAGGCAACAAAATAGGAAAAATGACAAGGGGGGGTGAATACTTTCGCAAGCCACTATATATATATATAGTTTTTCTTTTGGCCCCCCAGTTTTTAGTTTAAAAAAAAGAAGGAAAAAAAAGTGTATATATATATATATATATATATATATATATATATATATATATATATACACTTTTTTTTCCTTCTTTTTTTTAAACTAAAAACTGGGGGGCCAAAAGAAAAACGTCCTGTAGCCAACCCCTTCCATAGATGTTAAAAATAAAATAAAATTGTTTTTAACAATACTGATGATACTTGGGAGTCGTGTTGTGACCCAACAAATGTAAATAATGTGTTTAACTAATGAAACACTTTCAGAGAACATTTGGAATACCTAATTGGGGTACATTGTTATCTACAAGTGGGAAATAAAGCTCTGGTCTCTGCATTAAAAGCAGCTCTATCCCATTGTGTCTTTTTCAGTAAGTGTGAGTCCATCTCTCCTCTGGATGACCTGGCTTTTGACATGTACCAGGACCCCGAGGTAGCCCACATCATCCGCCTGCTGGATGACAAGAAGCAGGAGATGGTCCATCAGGAGCTATACGAGTTCGCCAAAACACTCAAGCAGGCTATCGCTGACCTGCAGAAGGTACTTCTGGGGTCTTCTGTGTGAAAATGGAACAACATACCTAATAGCCTGTTCCCCCTTGGTCCTTGTGTAGATCTGAAAATATTGCATAGTTAGATTTAAGTAATATGATGGAAATTCCATCTAGCCTATCAGAGGATAAGGTGCCATATTGCTTATACAGTACCTACCTATCCATCTACATGAAGTGCCTAGGGGTAGGGGAAAATTGTTGTTTTGGAATTGGGGAATAGAATCACAAGCAAGAAGTTTGACAATGAAACAGTGCACAGATATGTTATCATTGCATTACAAATGGACACATACAGTATACTCCATATCAAGTCTTGCATTCATATCTTTTTGTCGGTGTCTGTAATCGTAGTCGTTAAACATTGTTCCGATTCCTGTCGCCAATCACCCATGAATACTTGATAAGTACAACAGCTGCGGTTGTTGCGTCAAACCAGACGCCACCCCGTAGCCAAAGAACTTCCCAAACCCAATTCCAACCCCCTTGTTAGCCTGGCCAATTAGCATTGCATACACTGCTGTTACCAAGGTGGTCAAACAAAAACTCTTCCTCCATAGCCCCTTGAGGGTATAACTCACACCAATGCAGGATTGATAGAAAAGGCAATTATTTCATATTGTCACATACTTCAAATATATCTACTACTAATTGTATTTCACATTAGTAGCTAATGCTGTGTTACCCATAGCCTTATATATCTGTGTTACCTGGCACCGGACTAGCAAGCTTGCTCAGTTCTATGGAATTTCCCTGTAAAACTATGCATGGGAGTTACTGGAACCTATGGTGTCTATCCCAAATGGCACCCTATTCCCTATGTAGAGCACTACTTCCCTATGGGCCCTGGTCAAAAGTAGTGCACTATAAAGTGAATAGGGTGCCATTTGGGATATAGACAATGGTCAAATATCCAGTTCGTAAACGTTAACGATTCCGTCCATGGAATACCATGATGCCCTGTTGGCATGGCAATGTCCAGTTGCATAGTAACCACAATTTACGGAGAATTTGCTCACAATTTTTTGTATGCGCTCATGTTGAACAATATAAGATAGTTTGCCACTTCCTTCCAACATCTAGGCTTTTTGTTGTCCATTCATGGACATGAAAATATTTAATCACAAAAAAAGACAATTAAAAAAAAAACATACTCTGTTTCTCTTTCTCCATCCTCTCTCCTCTTTCCTTCTCCTTCTGTCCCCCTGTGTGACTGTGGGCTAGGTAGGAGAACGTCTGGGCCGATATGATGTGGAGAAATGCTGTGCCATAGAAAAGGAGGACTACGACACAGCCAAGAAGAAGAAGGAGCAGATGGAGGAGTACAGGATGACAGTGTACCATCAACTGGAGGTCCACAACCTACTGGACATGGGCACGGTGAGTGGCTCAATGTGGCTTCTTGGGTCATTTGAATTGTTGTGACTGGGAACATACACTATATATACAAAAGTATGTGGACACCCCTTCAAATGAGTGGATTCGGCTATTTCACTACACCCGTTGCTGACAGGTGTATAAAATCGAGCACACAGCCATGCAATCTCCATAGACAAACATTGGCAGTAGAATGGCCTTACTAAAGAGCTCAGTGACTTTCAACGTGGCACCGTCATAGGATGCCACCTTTCCATCAAGTCAGTTCATCAAATTTCTGCCCTGCTAGAGCTGCCCCGGTCAACTGTAAGTGCTGTTATTGTGAAGTGGAAATGTCTAGGAGCAACAACGGCTCAGTATTGAAGTGGTAGGCCACACAAGCTCACAGAAGGGGACCGCCGAGTGCTGAAGCGTGTAACAATCGTCTGTCGTTGGTTGCAACACTCACTACCGAGTTCCAAACTGCCTCTGGAAGCAACGTCAGCACAATTAGTGTTTGTCGGGAGCTTCATGAAATGGGTTTCCATGGCCAAGCAGCCGCACACAAGCCTAAGATCACCATGCGCAATGCCAACCATCGGCTGGAGTGGTGTGAAGCTCGCTGCCATTGGACTCTGGAGCAGTGGAAACGTGTTCTATGGAGTGATGAATCACGCTTCACCATCTGGCAGTCTGACGGACATATCTGGTTTTGGCGGATGCCAGGAGAACGCCACCTGCCCGAATTCCTTGTGCCAACTGTCAAGTTTGGTGGAGGAGGAATAATGGTCTGGGGCTGTTTTTCATGGTTTGGGCTAGGCCCCTTAGTTCCAGTGAAGGGAAATCGTAACGCTACAGCATACAATGACATTCTAGACGATTCTGTGCTTCTAACTTTGTGGCAACAGTTTGGGGAAGGCCCTTTCCTGTTTCAGCATGACAATGCCCCCGTGCACAAATTGAGGTCCATACAGAAATGGTTTGTCGAGATCAGTGTGGAAGAACTTGACTGGCCTGCACAGAGCCCTGACCTCAACCCCATTGAACACCTTTGGGATTAATTAAAACGCTGACTGCAAGCCAGGCCTAATCATCCAACATCAATGCCCGACCTCACTAAAGCTATTATGACTGAATGGAAGCAAGTCCCTGCATCAATGTTCCAACATCTAGTGGAAAGCCTTCGCAGAAGAGTGGAGGCTGTTATAGCAGCGAAGGGGGGACCAACTCCATATTAATGCCCATGATTTTGGAACGAGATGTTCGATGAGCAGGTGTCCACATACTTTTGGTCATGTAGTGTAAGTTAATGCCCTCATTGAACAATATTAATTGAGTTTTCGGATAAAACAGCATAAAAACAGTGCTGTGACAACATATCAACTGAAAACAAACATGACCTTAAATACATTATCAGTTTGTTCACTATGGCAGCGGTTCCCAAACTTTTCCTTTCCGGGGACCACCAAGTCACAGTCAAAGGCTATTGAGGTCTACCATTTGCGGAGTCACAGAATGTTTTTACATTAAATATCTTAGCGGTACATTTTTGTCTATTTTTTTTCAGTGAATGTAACAGATTAACGTCCTATTATGTTTGTTATACAATTTCCATTGTTAAAAGTAATGTAACATTGCATACACCATCATTATAGTCCCAACTGTTATTATTTTTCACACAAAAAAGGACCACAGGTTGAAAACCACTGCACTATGGTAGTTAATGGCCTTTTTTATATTTTGTATCCAAATTAACTAGCATGTCTACAATTATTTATATATTTTTGTCATTTTAGCAGACGCTCTTATCCAGAGCGACTTACAGGAGCAATTACGGTTAAGTGCCTTGCTGATGGGCACATCGACAGATTTTTCACCTAGTCTGCTCAGGGATTTGAACCAGTGACCTTTCGGTTACTGGCCCATTGCGCTTAACCGCTAGGCTACCTGCCGCCCCATATATCCCATATCCCATCTTCCATCATTTTACATGAAATGGCATTAGGTCATCTTTCAACCTTGACACCCACCAACATTGCAAAGCCAAGCCGTTTGACGAGGAAAGCCCTCCCTCTTCTCTCCTCATGCTGGCTTTAGATAAGGAAGATTATGGAGTCACCATCCAAGGACCCTCCCGATGTGCCTTCCCCACGCCGCCACCAAGTAGGACACAAGATGAGGGTCGTCACGGAAACGAGGAGGAGGAGAAACCAGGATCCTGTGACCACGGAGACTGTGGACCCTTTCCCCCCCAAACCTGTCAGTCCCTTGCTGTGCTCCCTCCCTCTGACGCCACGCGCCCACCCAGCAGTGCCCAGGATAGACGTAAGTCCCAATAAGAGCCGTAGCCTGGAAATCCACACTGAATCACACTATGTAGCACTACTGTTTCACTTGTGAAATGAATCATGATTCAGTTTAGCAAAGACTAACCTCCCTAGTTAAAAAGCTCTGATTTTAGCAGCCAATGTGAGTGATGCCCAGTTATAGTTAGTTTTCTTATGCTATTTTCCTTCACAACCTTTTCCTTTTTCCCATGTTATACCAAACCAAAAAAGTTATTGAAGAAGAGTTATAGCCACAATGTCGCCACAAGAAACACACTGAGCCCCTCCTTATAATCTGCAGTGGTGTTTGGAACACTCAAACATGGGATTATGACCAATATTTTATATGGTTTACTCACCATTGTGACTGCAAACAGGTTCAGTTTCACAATTTAATTAAAAGTGTGAAACAGTTGAGTGACTTTAGCACGTGCCAACCTGGCTGGAAGGCCCTGCTTGTAGCCTTTTACAAGACAGGAGTATTGTGCCAGTTGGCTGGCAGTTATACTTGGATTAGATATTATACCTGGGTTCTAAAACTCATTATAAACTGGGTGGTTCGAGATCTGAATGCTGATTGGCTGACAGCCATGGTATATCAGACCGTATACCATGGGTATGACAAAACATTTATTTTCCCTGCTCTAATTAAATTGGTAACCAGTATACCACACCTCCTCTGGCCTTATTGCTTAATTATACATACAACGACAGCATAGTCAATGAAAGCAACATTTGTTTTAGTAGATAATCTGATCAAGCAATCTTTTCACCAGTCTGTCTAGCTTGGTCTGTTTGGTCTGTTACATGGTCTGTTTCTCTTGAACACTGAAATGTTCAGTGTATCTCAACACTTGAGATATCTTGGTGTGTAAAATGTAAACCTGCTTAAATCTTCATTTATCAAGATCAAACTCTTAAACACCCCAAACTCTTAACCAACCCAACAGGTAGCTTTTGTTTATTTCAATCATAAATTTGTGTTGCTGCAAGCAAAATAATATTAGGGTCATGTGAGGTTATCTTAAAGAAGTTAATTGATCTATATAGAAACATGATCTAACCACATGAATTAAACAATAGTTTGATGTCCCATTGATCTCCCATTGAATGACTGTATGCACAGGTCCCCGCCCTGCCTTATGACGAGAGACCCCTACCTGCCCTGCAGAGGAAGGGGGAGATGTCCCAGAGCCAGCCTGAGGAGTCCTCTCTCACGCCCTCTCCCCTGGCCACCATCCCTTGTAGCCCTGGTGTAACTGGGGAGCCTGAGCCCCTCACAGAGAGGGCCCAGAGAGAGGCCAGTTTCCCTATTGAGGTGTACGGAGACGGACTGGTGAGATAAATGCACGCAAGCGTACACACACAGACACACACACACACACACACACATCCCAGACAGAAAAACCCAGACTTTGCATGATGTATCTCTCATAAACTGCCCAGAGGGTGGACTGACTGACTTACTTTCTAATCCTCCCCTTGCCCCATCCGCCCTAGGTGGCTGGAGCCTATTCAAAAACTTGGTCCTACCGGGAAGATGCCCTGCTGGCTGTCTACAAGAAGCTGACGGAAGTATCGGCCGGGACGCCCAAGGAGAAACTGAGGAACATGATGAGGGCAGCAGTGTTTCTGGTCAAGAAGGCCCTCAAGGATAAAGTATCATCTGTGAGTTTTAAATGGCATTGTATTTGGTGTGTCCCAGATGGCATCGTATTCCCTATATAGTGCACTACTTTTGACCAGAGCGCTATGGGCCCTGGTCAAAAGTAGTGCACAATATAGGGAATAGGGTGGCATTTTGGACACAGACACTCTCCCTATTTAGCCTAGGTGTGATCATTTACTGGCAGTTGTGATGCCAGAGGATCTTTTTGGGGGTTGTGTTCTTTATCACTCAGAACAGTAGGTTAACATTCACCTTTTAGTGCCTTTAACCACACTTGGCCCAGATTGAGGTTACAAACAACATGTAGAACATAAAAAAGAGCTATCTATATGCCTCATGCCACAGTGACTAACCGCTCTTGTTGCCTGGGGCTGAGTTATGGAGGCCAACATTCAATCTAACCCACGCTGTGGGAAACCTGCACAGGGGGTAGTGATATGGTTACCGTTTCACAGTAGTGTGTTGAACAGAGAAGTGTGTGTGCACTGAGTAGTTTGTGAACAGAGTAAATATTGATCATGCCGTTTGAGAGGGTGGTTTGCACACAAAAATAGACACAACTTCAGAAATATATATAATTTCTCTTGCTTAGTCTACACAGCAGGTGGCAGGGACATTTCTGGCCAATTTTTGTCTATTTTGTGTGCGAACCATGCTCTTATTTCTGGACTTCCTTGTTTAGGCATTATTTAACATGGGTGGATATTATTTGTGACACTTTTCTCCCTGTGTTTGCTGAACAAGTTCAGAGTTTTCCCTTGAAAGTCTATACGATCAGCGCAATATAGAATGATAAAGTGAAAGGCATTGTCCATGTTTTGAAGGCAGGTAACCAATCAGGTTATTTGTTGTTGCTGTCAGCTGGAAGTGGCTGGAGGATAAACTGAAGGACAGTGTTGGTTTCAGGCCTGTGGTAGATGGTAAACCTTTAACCATGTCTTATTTCCCATCTTCCAAAAGTCATAACTGGAGAAAAAAAATCTCAATATGTAACGTGAACAAACATTCATTGCCACAAATATATAAATTGTAAATTCCAGAAAAATACACAGTACCAAAGTTTCCACAGAAATTGTACACTCATGAAACAGTATTTTAAAAACTGGTGAGGGAAGGTGTCAGTAGCGGTGCGTGGGTAAAATCACTGGGGAAGCAAAGCCAGGAAAAAAAGGCATATTACAACCTATACGTTGTGATAATTGCATTGTTTGCTCTGTAACCTGTTAGTTCATATGCCTTGACACTGATATATAGATCTAAGGCTGAGACAATAAGAAGACACAGTAGCAGATTAAATTCAACCACACCTTTGTTTTATCACAAAACCGGAGAGCAACATCTGTCCGGTGAGGCCCACAAAATATATTGCATGTAACAAACAGTTACATAACCTACTACAGCATGGTCAAGCAAGTTAATGTTTTCGTCATTTTCGGACTACTAAACAACTACTGATTTAGAACAATGGAGAGTTACCGCAAGTCTCAAAGAAAACAGGCTCTGCCTCCACTATTCCAGCGCCATTTCAACTTCAACATTTCAACATCATCTAATCACCAATGCTTAGTCCAATACAGTGACAACAACTAAAAGATACAAAAAACGATTTAGTCCAGTCAACGTAAGGTAAATCTGATGTGACTGTCCATTGTACTGATTTATCTGTGTGTGCAAGTAGAAAAAACATGTTGACTCACCCTACTTGTAGAGAAACGCCAATGCCATCCTCCTCTTTCATGTTGCCTAAACGGTCTATGAATCTGTCATGATACAGGACATGCTTTTAGTTTTTGTTGTCCTAGGCTACCTGGCTAAAATGCCAGTCCAGCTACTTAACATTAGTCTACTTCATCTAGCTACATGTTGAACTTCCGTCCTTTCAGGCCAGGGGCACAATGTATGATTTTATGGTTGGATCAGAATTGCCGTTATAATCATTGGCTAGTACGGAGAATTAAGTAAAACCACAAGTCCAAATACCTATTTACATCCCTGGCTAATTTAGGAAAGCACCAATGCTCGCTGGCTTCTCTTGTATTCAATGCTATGGGCGGCAACAATATCATATTATTTTTGACCAGACAGCATCAGATAGATGAGCTTCAGAGACAGAGGGGCGCTGTTTCACTCGCTCTGAATACTTTCTCCGCACTTGCGAATTGAAGGAAAATTATGAAGATGAAAGATACCTTATTTTATATATATATTTTTTTTTTTCTTGGTAATTTTTTTTGGGGGTAAGCCTGGCTTCTCTTGGCATCCATGAATAGACACCAATGGAATGTGTAAGGTTTTGTTGTCAATTGAAAAGCTTTGTAAAGTGAATTGTAAATGGATAGTTTGTTAGCAGCGACACACACAGACACACATGAAGGCCAGATATGTTTATTGCTGTCACAGGCTTCGATTGATTATGCTCTCTGAGTGCTTTACACTGCAGCTATTCACCATTAGAGCTTCCTACCAACCGTACACACACACATACCAAACACACACATCAAATACACACCACACACATACACACCAAATACACACACACACACATTCTACACCCCCCCCCCCCCCCCAACAATGCTGTCCCTGTCCCACTAACATTCCCACTGCTCGCTGTTAGAGGTCTCTCCTTAAACAAATATTAGAGAGGATTGGTGACAACGCTGGCCTTGTAAGTTGTAACCACTTTCCCTGACTTGTCCTGCAATGAGAAAGATGGTCGCAATAATCCACACAGTTATTTATATATATGTGTGTGTGTGTGTATGTACAGTGCTATGAAAAAGTATTTGCCCCCTTTCTAATTTTCTCGACTTTTGCATATTTGTGATACTGAATGTTATCAGATCTTCAACCAAAACCTAATATTAGATAAAGGGAACATAAGTGGACAAATAACACAACAATTACATATTTATTTAATTTATTTCATAAACAAAGTTATGCAACACCCAATTCCCCTGTGTGAAAAAGTAATTGCCCCCTTACACTCAATAACTGGTTGTGCCACCTTTAGCTGCAATGACTCCAACCAAATGCTTCCTGTAGTTGTTGATCAGTCTCTCACGTCGCTGTGGAGGAATTTTGGCCCACTCTTCCATGCAGAACTGCTTTAACTCAGTGACGTGTGGGTTTTCAAGCATGAACTGCTCGTTTCAAGTCCTGCCACAACATCTCAAATGGGATTAGGTCTGGACTTTGACTAGGCCATTCCAAAACTTCCAATTTGTTGCTTTTTAGCAATTTTCATGTAGACTTGATTGTGTGTTTTGGATCATTGTCTTGCTGCATGACCCAGCTGCGCTTCAGCTTCAGCTCACAGACGGATGGTCTGACATTCTCCTGTAGAATTCTCTGATACAGAGCAGAATTCATGGTTCCTTCTATTAAGGCAAGTCATCCAGGTCCTGAGGCAGCAAAGCATCCCCAAACCATCACACCACCACCATGCTTGACCTTTGGTATGATGTTCTTACTGTGGAATGCAGTGTTTGGTTTTCGCCAGGCATTACTGGAACCATGTCGTCCAAAAAGTTATACTTTTGAATCATCTGTCCATAGAACGTTCTTCCAAGAGTCTTGATGATCATCCAGGTGCTTTTTGGCAAACTTGAGTCAACTTCAGCACTATATATATACAGTGGGGAGAACAAGTATTTGATACACTGACGATTTTGCAGGTTTTCCTACTTACAAAGTATGTAGAGGTCTGTAATTTTTATCATAGGTACACTTCAACTGTGAGAGACGGAATCTAAAACAAAAATCCAGAAAATCACATTGTATGATTTTTAAGTAATTTGCATTTTATTTATATTATTTATAGTATTTGATACATCAGAAAAGCAGAACTTAATATTTGGTACAGAAACCTTTGTTTGCAATTACAGAGATCATACGTTTCCTGTAGGTCTTGACCAGGTTTGCACACACTGCAGCAGGGATTTTGGCCCACTCCTCCATACAGACCTTCTCCAGATCCTTCAGGTTTCGGGGCTGTCGCTGGGCAATACGGACTTTCAGCTCCCTCCAAAGATTTTCTATTGGGTTCAGGTCTGGAGACTGGCTAGGCCACTCCAGGACCTTGAGATGCTTCTTACGGAGCCACTCCTTAGTTGCTCTGGCTGTGTGTTTCGGGTCGTTGTCATGCTGGAAGACCCAGCCACGACCCATCTTCAATGCTCTTACTGAGGGAAGGAGGTTGTTGGCCAAGATCTCGTGATACATGGCCCCATCCATCCTCCCCTCAATACGGTGCAGTCGTCCTGTCCCCTTTGCAGAAAAGCATCCCCAAAGAATGATGTTTCCACCTCCATGCTTCACGGTTGGGATGGTGTTCTTGGGGTTGTACTCATCCTTCTTCTTCCTCCAAACATGGCGAGTGGAGTTTAGACCAAAAAGCTCTATTTTTGTCTCATCAGACCACATGACCTTCTCCCATTCCTCATCTGGATCATCCAGATGGTCATTGGCAAACTTCAGACGGGCCTGGACATGCGCTGGCTTGAGCAGGCGGACGTTGCGTGCGCTGCAGGATTTTAATCCATGACGGCGTAGTGTGTTACTAATGGTTTTCTTTGAGACTGTGGTCCCAGCTCTCTTCAGGTCATTGACCAGGTCCTGCCGTGTAGTTCTGGGCTGATCCCTCACCTTCCTCATGATCATTGATGCCCCACGAGGTGAGATCTTGCATGGAGCCCCAGGCCGAGGGTGATTGATCGTCATCCTGAACTTCTTCCATTTTCTAATAATTGCGCCAATAGTTGTTGCCTTCTCACCAAGCTGCTTGCCTATTGTCCTGTAGCCCATCCCAGCCTTGTGCAGGTCTACAATTTTATCCCTGATGTCCTTACACAGCTCTCCGGTCTTGGCCATTGTGGAGAGGTTGGAGTCTGTTTGATTGAGTGTGTGTGGACAGGTGTCTTTTATACAGGTAATGAGTGGAGAACAGGAGGGCTTCTTAAAGAAAAACTAACAGGTCTGTGAGAGCTGGAATTCTTACTGGTTGGTAGGTGATCAAATACAGTGGGGGGAAAAAAGTATTTAGTCAGCCACCAATTGTGCAAGTTCTCCCACTTAAAAAGATGAGAGAGGCCTGTAATTTTCATCATAGGTACACATCAACTATGACAGACAAAATGAGAGAAAAAAATCCAGAAAATCACATTGTAGGATTTTTTATGAATTTATTTGCAAATTATGGTGGAAAATAAGTGTTTGGTCAATAACAAAAGTTTCTCAATACTTTGTTATATACCCTTTGTTTGCAATGACACAGGTCAAACGTTTTCTGTAAGTCTTCACAAGGTTTTCACACACTGTTGCTGGAATTTTGGCCCATTCCTCCATGCAGATCTCCTCTAGAGCAGTGACGTTTTGGGGCTGTCGCTGGGCAACACGGACTTTCAACTCCCTCCAAAGATATTCTATGGGGTTGAGATCTGGAGACTGGCTAGGCCACTCCAGGACCTTGAAATGCTTCTTACGAAGCCACTCCTTCGTTGCCCGGGCGGTGTGTTTGGGATCATTGTCATGCTGAAAGACCCAGCCACGTTTCATCTTCAATGCCCTTCCTGATGGAAGGAGGTTTTCACTCAAAATCTCACGATACATGGCCCCATTCATTCTTTCCTTTACACTGATCAGTCGTCCTGGTCCGTTTGCAGAAAAACAGCCCCAAAGCATGATGTTTCCACCCCCATGCTTCACAGTAGGTATGGTGTTCTTTGGATGCAACTCAGCATTCTTTGTCCTCCTAACACGACGAGTTGGGTTTTTACCAAAAAGTTATATTTTGGTTTCATCTGACCATATGACATTCTCCCAATCCTTTTCTGGATCATCCAAATGCACTCTAGCAAACTTCAGACGGGCCTGGAGATGTACTGGCTTAAGCAGGGGGACACGTCTGGCACTGCAGGATTTGAGTCCCTGGCGGCGTAGTGTGTTACTGATGGTAGGCTTTGTTACTTTGGTCCCAGCTCTCTGCAGGTCATTCACTAGGTCCCCCCGTGTGGTTTCAGGGATTTTTGCTCACCGTTCTTGTGATCATTTTGACCCCACGGGGTGAGATCTTGCGTGGAGCCCCAGATCGAGGGAGATTATCAGTGGTCTTGTATGTCTTCCATTTCCTAATAATTGCTCCCACAGTTGATTTCTTCAAACCAAGCTGCTTACCTATTGCAGATTCAGTCTTCCCAGCCTGGTGCAGGTCTACAATTTTGTTTCTGGTGTCCTTTGACAGCTCTTTGGTCTTGGCCATAGTGGAGTTTGGAGTGTGACTGTTTGAGGTTGTGGACAGGTGTCTTTTATACTGATAACAAGTTCAAACAGGTGCCATTAATACAGGTAACGAGTGGAGGACAGAGGAGCCTCTTAAAGAAGAAGTTACAGGTCTGTGAGAGCCAGAAATCTTGCTTGTTTGTAGGTGACCAAATACTTATTTTCCACCATAATTTGCAAATAAATTCATTTTTTTTTTTTTTATCAATTTGTCTGTCATAGTTGACGTGTACATATGATGAAAATTACAGGCCTCTCTCATCTTTTTAAGTGGGAGAACTTGCATAATTGGTGGCTGACTAAATACTTTTTTTCCCCACTGTACTTATGTCATGCAATAAAATGCAAATGAATTACTTAAAAATCATACAATGTGATTTTCTGGATTTTTGTTTTAGATTCCGTCTCTCACAGTTGAAGTGTACCTATGATAAAATGACAGAACTCTACATGCTTTGTAAGTAGGAAAACCTGCAAAATCGGCAGTGTATCAAATACTTGTTCTCCCCACTGTGTATATATATATATATATATATATATATATATATATATACACACACACACACACACACACACACGTGTGTGTGTATATACATATATATATTTTATTTTTATTTTTATTTCACCTTTATTTAACCAGGGAAGCCAGTTGAGAACAAGTTCTCATTTACAACTGCGACCTGGCCAAGATAAAGCAAAGCAGTGCGATAAAAACAACAACAACACAGAGTTATATATGGAATAAACAAAAACAAAACGTACAGTCAATAACACAATAGAAAATCTATATACAGTGTGTGCAAATGTAGTAAGTTATGGAGTTAAGGCAATAAATAGGCCATAGTGCAAAATAATTACAATTTAGTATTAACACTGGAGTGATAGATGTGCAGAAGATGATGTGCAAATAGAGATACTGGGGTGCAAAATGAGCAAAATAAATAACAATGTAAATAACAATATGGGGATGAGGTAGTTGGGTGGGCTAATTACAGATGGGCTGTGTACAGGTGCACTGATGCTTAAAGTTAGTGAGGGAGATAAGTGTCTCCAGCTTCAGAGATGTTGGCTTTGGGGATGACCAGTGAGATATACCTGCTGGAACGCATACTACGGGTGGGTGTTGCTATGGTGACCAATGATCTAAGATAAGGCGGGGATTTGCCTAGAAGTGATTTATAGATGACCTGGAGCCAGTGGGTTTGGCGACTAATATGTAGTGAGGGCCAGCCAACGAGAGCGTACAGGTCACAATGGTGGGTAGTATATGGGGGTTTGGTGACAAAACGGATGGCACTCTGATAGACTACATCCAATTTGCTGAGTAGAGTGTTGGAAGCTATTTTGTAAATGACATCGCCGAAGTCAAGGATCGGTAGGATAGTCAGTTTTACGAGGGCATGTTTAGCAGCATGAGTGAAGGAGGCTTTGTTGCGAAATAGGAAGTTGATTCTAGATTTAATTTTGGATTGGAGATGCTTAATGTGAGTCTGGAAGGAGAGTTTACGGTCTAACCAGACACCTAGGTATTTGTAGTTGTCCACATATTCTAAGTCAGACCCGCCGAGAGAGTAGGGATTCTAGTCGGGCGGGCGGGTGCAAGCAGCGTTCGATTGAATAGCATGCATTTAGTTTTACTAGCGTTTAAGAGCAGTTGGAGGCCACGGAAGGAGTGTTGTATGACATTGAAGAGATTTGTTAACACAGTGTCCAGTGAAGGGCCAGATGTATACAAAATGGTGTCGTCCGCATAGAGGTGGATCTGAGAGTCACCAGCAGCAAGAGCGACATCATTGATATACACAGAGAATAGAGTCGGCCCGAGAATTGAACCCTGTGGCACCCCCATAGAGACTGCCAGAGGTCCAGACAACAGACCCTCCGATTTGACACATTGAACTGTATCTGAGAAGTAGTTGGTGAACCAGGCGAGGCAGTCATTTGAGAAACCAAGGCTATTTAGTCTGCCAATAAGAATGCGGTGGTTGACAGAGTGAAAAGCCTTGGCCAGGTCGATGAAGACGGCTGCACAGTACTGTCTTTTATCGATCGCAGTTATTATATCGTTTAGGACCTTGAGCGTGGCTGAGGTGCACCCATGACCAGCTCGGAAACCATATTGCATAGCGGAGAAGGTACGGTAGGATTTGAAATGGTCGGTGATCTGTTTAACTACGCTTTCAAATACTTTCGAAAGGCTGGGCAGGATGGATATAGGTCTGTAACAGTTTGGATCTAGAGTGTCACCCCCTTTGAAGAGGGGGATGACCGCGGCAGCATTTCAATCTCTGGGGATCTCAGACGATACGAAAGAGAGGTTGATCAGGCTAGTAATAGGGGTTGCGACAATTTCGGCGGCTAATTTTAGAAAGAACGGTTCCAGATTGTCTAGCCCAGCTGATTTGTAGGGGTCCAGATTTAGCAGCTCTTTCAGGGCATCAGTTATCGAATTTGGGTGAAGGAGAACCAGGGGGGGCATGGGCAAGTTGCAGCGGAGCGTGCAGAGCTGGTGGCCGGGGTAGGGGTAGCCAGGTGGAAAGCATGGCCAGCCGTAGCAAAATGCTTATTGAAATTCTCGATTATCATAGATTTATCGGTGGTGACATTGTTTCCTAGCCTCAGTGCAGTGGGTAGCTGGGAGGAGGTGCTCTTATTCTCCATGGACTTTACAATGTCCCAAAACTTGTTGGAGTTTGTGCTACAGGATGCAAATTTCTATTTGAAAAAGCTAGCCTTTGCTTTCCTAACTGATTGTGTATATTGGTTCCTGACATCCCTGAAAGGTTGCATATCGCGGGGCTGTTCGATGCTAATGCAGTACGCCACAGGATGTTTTTGTGCTGGTCAAGGGCAGTCAAGTCTGGGGTGAACCAGGGGCTATATCTGTTCTTAATTCTGAATTTTTTGAATGGGGCATGGTTATTTCTGCTAAATGGCATAATATTATTATTATTATTATTATTATTATTATTATTATTATTATTATTATTATTATTATTATTTAAGATGGAGAGGAAAGCACTTTTGAAGAGCATCCAGGCATCCTCTACTGACGGAATGAGGTCAATATCCATCCACGATACCCGGGTCAGGTCAATTAGAAAGGCCTGCTCACTGAAGTGTTTTAGGGAGCGTTTGACAGTGATGAGGGGTAGTCGTTTGACCGCGGACCCATTACGGACGCAGGCAATGAGGCAGTGATCGCTGAGATCCTGGTTGAAGACAGCGGAGGTGTATTTAGAGGGTAAATTAGTCAGGATGATATCTATGAGGGTGCCCATGTTTACAGATTTAGGGTTGTACCTGGTAGGTTCCTTGATAATTTGTGTGAGATTGAGGGCATCTAGTTTAGATTGTAGGACGCCCGGGGTGTTAAGCATATCCCAGTTTAGGTCGCCAAGCAGTACGAACTCTGAGGATAGATGGGGGGACAAGCAATTCACATATGGTGTCCAGGGCACAACTGGGGGCTGAGGGGGGTCTGTAGCAAGCGGCAACAGTGAGAGACTTATTTCTGGAAAGGTGGATTTTTAGAAGTAGAAGCTCAAACTGTTTGGGCACAGACATGGATAGTATGATAGAGCTCTGCAGGCTATCGCTACAGTAGATTGCAACTCCGCCCCCTTTGGCAGTTCTATCTAGACGGAAAAAGTTGTAGTTCGGAATGGAAATTTCTGAATTTTTTGTGGCGTTCCTAAGCCAAGATTCAGACACTGCTAGAACATCAGGGTTGGCAGAGTGTGCTAACGCAGTGAATAACTCAAACAAGAAACCAAGGCTTTTACGGTTACAGAAGTCAACAAATGATAGTGCCTGGGGGGTAGGAGTGATACTGGGGGCTACAGGGCTGGGTTAACCTCTACATCACCAGAGGAACAGAGGAGGAATAGAATAAGGATACGGCTAAAGGCTTTAAGAACTGGTCTTCTAGTGCGTTGGGTACAGAGAAAGGGGGAAGATTTCCGGGCGTTGTAGAATAGATTCAGGGCATTATGTACAGACAAGGATATGGAAGGATATGAGTACAGTGGAGGTACACCTAAGCATTGGGTAACTATGAAAGAGAGAGCATCACTGGAGGTACCGATTAAGCCGGTCTCTGCGTGTATGGGGGGTGGGACAAAGGAGCTCTCTGAAGCTGGTTGAGCGGAACTTGGGGCTCTACAGTGAAATGGTATAATAAGAACTAACCCAAACAGCAATAGGCTAGGCATATTGACATGGGAGAGAGGCATAACACAATCACAGGTGTTATTCGAGATGGCTAAGACAACAACTGGTAATGGTAACGAAAGTTTGGGCTGAGGCTAAACAGATAAACAGGATGGGGTACCGTGTAAAGGAACAGTCCAGCTGGCATTAGCTGTGTAGCTGAGTGATCATAAGGTCCAGTGAACAGCACTAAGTCAGTCCGGGAGCAGATCGTAGGCTGCTAAAGCACAGGCGAGCAGGAGGCACGGCTGTTGATTGCGCGTGCTAGCGGGCCGGGGCTAGCAGATGGATCTTCGTGGTCGTCGCAACGGGAAGCCTGTTGAAACCACATCAGACGATTATGTCGGCAGATCAGACGTGATGGATCGGCGGGTCTCCGTGTCGACACTAGGAGGTCCCGTCCGGTTGACAGAGAGGTAGATAGCCGGGAGATGGGCCTGGCTCGAGGCTAGCTCAAGGCTAACTGGTACGTCGGGAAGTGGATATTAGCCAACAACAGCCATTCGGTTGCAGCTAGCTAGTTGCGATGGTCCGGTGTTAAGGTCAAGTGATTCAGTGATTCCGGGAAAAAATCAGATATGCTCTGGGTCGATAGCACGCTGTGCAGACTGGCCGATAATTGTCCAGGCTAGAGCTGGCTGGTAGGTAGTGCAGGCCACGGACAGTGGTGAAGACCGCTAACGGTGGCTAATAGCAATAGCCAGTTAGCTGGCTAGTTTCAGCCATAGGTTCTTGATAAAAATAAATAAATAATAGAATCCGTTCCACATTGGGTTAGGCGGGTTGCAGGAAGGTATATTTAGTTAAAGGATGGAAAGTGAGATAGAGAAATATATACGAATAAAAGACAAAAAAACAGGCTATTTACACGAGGACACAACACAATACACGACTGCAGTACTATGCCATCTTCGATTATATATATGTATGTATATACAATGGGGAGAACAAGTATTTGATACACTGCCGATTTTGCAGGTTTTCCTACTTACAAAGCATGTAGAGGTCTGTAATTTTTATCATAGGTACACTTCAACTGTGAGAGACGGAATCTAAAACAAAAATCCAGAAAATCACATTGTATGATTTTTAAGTAATTAATTTGCATTTTATTGCATGACATAAGTATTTGATACATCAGAAAAGCAGAACTTAAAATTTGGTACAGAAACCTTTGTTTGCAATTACAGAGATCATACGTTTCCTGTAGGTCTTGACCAGGTTTGCACACACTGCAGCAGGGATTTTGGCCCACTCCTCCATACAGACCTTCTCCAGATCCTTCAGGTTTCGGGGCTGTCGCTGGGCAATACGGACTTTCAGCTCCCTCCAAAGATGTTCTATTGGGTTCAGGTCTGGAGACTGGCTAGGCCACTCCAGGACCTTGAGATGCTTCTTACGGAGCCACTCCTTAGTTACCCTGGCTGTGTGTTGCAGGACGTTGTCATGCTGGAAGACCCAGCCACGACCCATCTTCAATGCTCTTACTGAGGGAAGGAGGTTGTTGGCCAAGATCTTGTGATACATGGCCCCATCCATCCTCCCCTCAATACGGTGCAGTCGTCCTGTCCCCTTTTCAGAAAAGCATCCCCAAAGAATGATGTTTCCACCTCCATGCTTCACGGTTGGGATGGTGTTCTTGGGGTTGTACTCATCCTTCTTCTTCCTCCAAACACGGCGAGTGGAGTTTAGACCAAAAAGCTCTATTTTTGTCTCATCAGACCACATGACCTTCTCCCATTCCTCCTCTGGATCATCCAGATGGTCATTGGCAAACTTCAGACGGGCCTGGACATGCGCTGGCTTGACCAGGGGGACCTTGCGTGCGCTGCAGGATTTTAATCCATGACGGTATAGTGTGTTACTAATGGTTTTCTTTGAGACTGTGGTCCCAGCTCTCTTCAGGTCATTGCTCAGGTCCTGCCGTGTAGTTCTGTGCTGATCCCTCACCTTCCTCATGATCATTGATGCCCCATGAGGTGAGATCTTGCATGGAGCCCCAGACCAAGGGTGAGTGACCGTCATCTTGAACTTCTTCCATTTTCTAATAATTGTGCCAACAGTTGTTGCCTTCTCACCAAGCTGCTTGCCTATTGTCCTGTAGCCCATCCCAGCCTTGTGCAGGTCTACAATTTTATCCCTGATGTCCTTACACAGCTCTCTGGTCTTGGCCATTGTGGAAAGGTTGGAGTCTGTTTTATTGAGAGTGGACAGGTGTCTTTTATAAAGGTAATGAGTTCAAACAGGTGCAGTTAATACAGGTAATGAGTGGAGAAGAGGAGGGCTTCTTAAAGAAAAACGAACAGGTCTGTGAGAGCCGGAATTCTTACTGGTTGGTAGGTGATCAAATACTTATGTCATGCAATAAAATGCAAATTAATTACTTAAAAATCATACAATGTGATTTTCTGGATTTTTGTTTTAGATTTCGTCTCTCACAGTTAGTGTACCTATGATCAAAATTACAGACCTCTACATGCTTTGTAAGTAGGAAAACCTGCAAAATCGGCAGTGTATCAAATACTTGTTCTCCCCACTGTATATATATATATGTGTGTGTGTATTGTATGTATATATATATATGTGTGTATGTATATTTACATTTACATTTTAGTCATTTAGCAGACGCTCTTATCCAGAGCGACTTACAGTTAGTGAGTGCATACTTTTTTAATACTGGCCCCCCGTGGGAAATGAACCCACAACCCTGGCGTTGCAAGCGCCATGCTCTACCAACTGAGCTACACGGGGCCCCATATATATATATATATATATATATATATATATATATATATATATATATACACAGTGAGGGAAAAAAGTATTTAGTCAGCCACCAATTGTGCAAGTTCTCCCACTTAAAAAGATGAGAGAGACCTGTAATTTTCATCATAGGTACACGTCAACTATGCCAGACAAATTGAGGAAAAAAAATCCTGAAAATCACATTGTAGGATTTTTTATGAATTTATTTGCAAATTATGGTGGAAAATAAGTATTTGGTCACCTACAAACAAGCAAGATTTCTGGCTCTCACAGACCTGTAACTTCTTATTTAAGAGGCTCCTCTGTCCTCCACTCGTTACCTGTATTAATGGCACCTGTTTGAACTTGTTATCAGTATAAAAGACACCTGTCCACAACCTCAAACAGTCACACTCCAAACTCCACTATGGCCAAGACCAAAGAGCCGTCAAAGGACACCAGAAACAAAATTGTAGACCTGCACCAGGCTGGGAAGACTGTATCTGCAATAGGTAAGCAGCTTGGTTTGAAGAAATCAACTGTGGGAGCAATTATTAGGAAATGGAAGACATACAAGACCACTGATAATCTCCCTCGATCTGGGGCTCCACGCAAGATCTCACCCCGTGGGGTTAAAATGATCACAAGAACGGTGAGCAAAAATCCCAGAACCACACGGGGGGACCTAGTGAATGACCTGCAGAGAGCTGGGACCAAAGTAACAAAGCCTACCATCAGTAACACACTACGCCGCCAGGGACTCAAATCCTGCAGTGCGAGACGTGTCCCCCTGCTTAAGCCAGTACATGTCCAGGCCCGTCTGAAGTTTGCTAGAGTGCATTTGGATGATCCAGAAGAGGATTGGGAGAATGTCATATGGTCAGATGAAACCAAAATATAACTTTTTGGTAAAAACTCAACTCGTCGTGTTTGGAGGACAAAGAATGCTGAGTTGATTCCAAAGAACACCATACCTACTGTGAAGCATGGGGGTGGAAACATCATGCTTTGGGGCTGTTTTTCTGCAAAGGGACCAGGACGACTGATCCGTGTAAAGGAAAGAATGAATGGGGCCATGTATCGTGAGATTTTGAGTGAAAACCTCGTTCCATCAGCAAGGGCATTGAAGATGAAACGTGGCTGGGTCTTTCAGCATGACAATGATCCCAAACACACCGCCCGGGCAACGAAGGAGTGGCTTCGTAAGAAGCATTTCAAGGTCCTGGAGTGGCCTAGCCAGTCTCCAGATCTCAACCCCATAGAAAATCTTTGGAGGGAGTTGAAAGTCTGTGTTGCCCAGCGACAGCCCCAAAACATCATTGCTCTAGAGGAGATCTGCATGGAGGAATGGGCCAAAATACCAGCAACAGTGTGTGAAAACCTTGTGAAGACTTACAGAAAACGTTTGACCTGTGTCATTGCCAACAAAGGGTATATAACAAAGTATTGAGAAACTTTTGTTATTGACCAAATACTTATTTTCCACCATAATTTGCAAATAAATTCATTAAAAATACTACAATGTGATTTTCTGGATTTTTTTTTCTCATTTTGTCTGTCATAGTTAACGTGTACCTATGATGAAAATTACAGGCCTCTCTCATCTTTTTAAGTGGGAGAACTTGCACAATTGGTGGCTGACTAAATACTTTTTTTCCCCACTGTGTATATATATATATATATACACATACACAAATATATATATATATGTGTATATATATATACAGTGGGGGAAAAAAGTATTTAGTCAGCCACCAATTGTGCAAGTTATTCCACTTAAAAAGATGAGAGAGGCCTGTCATTTTCATCATAGGTACACGTCAACTATGACAGACAAATTGAGAAAAATAATTCCAGAAAATCACATTGTAGGATTTTTTATGAATTTATTTGCAAATTATGGTGGAAAATAAGTATTTGGTCACCTACAAACAAGCAAGATTTCTGGCTCTCACAGACCTGTAACTTCTTCTTTAAGAGGCTCCTCTGTCCTCCACTCGTTACCTGTATTAATGGCACCTGTTTGAACTTGTAATCAGTATAAAAGACACCTGTCCACAACCTCAAACAGTCACACTCCAAACTCCACTATGGCCAAGACCAAAGAGCTGTCAAAGGACACCAGAAACAAAATTGTAGACCTGCACCAGGCTGGGAAGACTGAATCTGCAATAGGTAAGCAGCTTGGTTTGAAGAAATCAACTGTGGGAGCAATTATTAGGAAATGGAAGACATACAAGACCACTGATAATCTCCCTCGATCTGGGGCTCCAAGCAAGATCTCACCCCGTGGGGTCAAAATGATCACAAGAACGGTGAGCAAAAATCCCAGAACCACACGGGGGGACCTAGTGAATGACCTGCAGAGAGCTGGGACCAAAGTAACAAAGCCTACCATCAGTAACACACTACGCCGCCAGGGACTCAAATCCTGCAGTGCCAGACGTGTCCCCCTGCTTAAGCCAGTACATGTCCACGCCCGTCTGAAGTTTGCTAGAGTGCATTTGGATGATCCAGAAGAGGATTGGGAGAATGTCATATGGTCAGATGAAACCAAAATATAACTTTTTGGTAAAAACTCAACTCGTCGTGTTTGGAGGACAAAGAATGCTGAGTTGCATCCAAATAACACCATACCTACTGTGAAGCATGGGGGTCGAAACATCATGCTTTGGGGCTGTTTTTCTGCAAAGGGACCAGGACGACTGATCCGTGTAAAGGAAAGAATGAATGGGGCCATGTATCGTGAGATTTTGAGTGAAAACCTCCTTCCATCAGCAAGGGCATTGAAGATTAAACGTGGCTGGGTCTTTCAGCATGACAATGATCCCAAACACACCGCCCGGGCAACGAAGGAGTGGCTTCGTAAGAAGCATTTCAAGGTCCTGTAGTGGCCTAGCCAGTCTCCAGATCTCAACCCCATAGAAAATCTTTGGAGGGAGATGAAAGTCTGTGTTGCCCAGCGACAGCCCCAAAACATCACTGCTCTAGAGGAGATCTGCATGGAGGAATGGGCCAAAATACCAGCAACAGTGTGTGAAAACCTTGTGAAGACTTACAGAAAACGTTTGACCTGTGTCATTGCCAACAAAGGGTATATAACAAAGTATTGATAAACTTTTGTTATTGACCAAATACTTATTTTCCACCATAATTTGCAAATAAATTCATTAAAAATCCTACAATGTGATTTTCAGGATTTTTTTTTCTCATTTTGTCTGTCATAGTTGACGTGTACCTATGATGAAAATTACAGGCCTCTCTCATCTTTTTAAGTGGAATAACTTGCACAATTGGTGGCTGACTAAATACTTTTTTTCCCCACTGTATATATATATATACAGTGGGGAGAACAAGTATTTGATACACTGCTGATTTTGCAGGTTTTCCTACTTACAAAGCATGTAGAGATCTGTAATTTTTATCATAGGTACACTCCAACTGTGAGAGACAAAAATCCATAAAATCACATTGTATGATTTCTAAGTAATTAATTTGCATTTTATTGCATGACATAAGTATTTGATACATCAGAAAAGCAGAACTTAATATTTGGTACAGAAACCTTTGTTTGCAATTACAGAGATCATACGTTTCCTGTAGGTCTTGACCAGGTTTGCACACACTGCAGCAGGGATTTTGGCCCACTCCTCCATACAGACCTTCTCCAGATCCTTCAGGTTTCGGGGCTGTCGCTGGGCAATACGGACTTTCAGCTCCCTCCAAATATTTTCTATTGGGTTCAGGTCTGGAGACTGGCTAGGCCACTCCAGGACCTAGAGATGCTTCTTACGGAGCCACTCCTTAGTTGCTCTGGCTGTGTGTTTCGGGTCGTTGTCATGCTGGAAGACCCAGCCACAACCCATCTTCAATGCTCTTACTGAGGGAAGGAGGTTGTTGGCCAAGATCTCGCGATACATGGCCCCATCCATCCTCCCCTCAATACGGTGCAGTCGTCCGGTCCCCTTTGCAGAAAGCATCCCCAAAGAATGATGTTTCCACCTCCATGCTTCACGGTTGGGATGGTGTTCTTGGGGTTGTACTCATCCTTCTTCTTCCTCCAAACACGGCGAGTGGAGTTTAGACCAAAAAGCTCTTTTTGTCTCATCAGACCACATGACCTTCTCCCATTCCTCATCTGGATCATCCAGATGGTCATTGGCAAACTTCAGACGGGCCTGGACATGCGCTGGCTTGAGCAGGGGGACCTTGCGTGCGCTGCAGGATTTTAATCCATGATGGCGTAGTGTGTTACTAATGGTTTTCTTTGAGACTGTGGTCCCAGCTCTCTTCAGGTCATTGACCAGGTCCTGCCGTGTAGTTCTGGGCTGATCCCTCACCTTCCTCATGATCATTGATGCCCCACGAGGTGAGATCTTGCATGGAGCCCCAGGCCGAGGATGATTGATCGTCATCTTGAACTTCTTCCATTTTCTAATAATTGCGCCAACAGTTGTTGCCTTCTCACCAAGCTGCTTGCCTATTGTCCTGTAGCCCATCCCAGCCTTGTGCAGGTCTACAATTTTTATCCCTGATGTCCTTACACAGCTCTCTGGTCTTGGCCATTGTGGAGAGGTTGGAGTCTGTTTGATTGAGTGTGTGGACAGGTGTCTTTTATACAGGTAACGAGTTCAAACAGGTGCAGTTAATACAGGTAATGAGTGGAGAACAGGAGGGCTTCTTAAAGAAAAACTAACAGGTCTGTGAGAGCCGGAATTCTTACTGGTTGGTAGGTGATCAAATACTTATGTTATGCAATAAAATGCAAATTAATTACTTAAAAATCAATGTGATTCAACAATGTGATTTTCTGGATTTTTGTTTTAGATTCCGTCTCTCACAGTTGAAGTGTACCTATGATAAAAATTACAGACCTCTACATGCTTTGTAAGTAGGAAAACCTGCAAAATCGGCAGTGTATCAAATACTTGTTCTCCCCACTGTATATATATATATATATATATATATATATATATATATATATATATATATATATATATATACAGTGGGGAAAAAAAGTATTTAGTCAGCCACCAACTGTGCAAGTTCTCCCACTTAAAAAGATGAGAGAGGCCTGTAATTTTCATCATAGGTACACGTCAACTATGACAGACAAAATGAGAAAAGAAAAATCCAGAAAATCGAATTGTAGGATTTTTAATGAATTTATTTGCAAATTATGGTGGAAAATAAGTATTTGGTCACCTACAAACAAGCAAGATTTCTGGCTCTCACAGACCTGTAACTTATTCATTAAGAGGCTCCTCTGTCCTCCACTCGTTACCTGTATTAATGGCACCTGTTTGAACTTGTTATCAGTATAAAATACACCTGTCCACAACCTCAAACAGTCACACTCCAAACTCCACTATGGCCAAGACCAAAGAGCTGTCAAAGGACACCAGAAACAAAATTGTAGACCTGCACCAGGCTGGGAAGACTGAATCTGCAATAGGTAAGCAGCTTGGTTTGAAGAAATCAACTGTGGGAGCAATTATTAGGAAATGGAAGACATACAAGACCACTGATAATCTCCCTCGATCTGGGGCTCCACGCAAGATCTCACCCCGTGGGGTCAAAATGATCACAAGAACGGTGAGCAAAAATCCCAGAACCACACGGGGGGACCTAGTGAATGACCTGCATAGAGCTGGGACCAAAGTAACAAAGCCTACCATCAGTAACACACTACGCCGCCAGGGACTCAAATCCTGCAGTGGCAGACGTGTCCCCCTGCTTAAGCCAGTACATGTCCAGGCCCGTCTGAAGTTTGCTAGAGTGCATTTGGATAATCCAGAAGAGGATTGGGAGAATGTCATATGGTCAGATGAAACCAAAATAGAACTTTTTGGTAAAAACTCAACTTGTCGTGTTTGGAGGACAAAGTTGCATCCAAAGAACACCATACCTACTGTGAAGCATGGGGGTGGAAACATCATGCTTTGGGGCTGTTTTTCTGCAAAGGGACCAGGACGACTGATCCGTGTAAAGGAAAGAATGAATGGGGCCAAGTATCGTGAGATTTTGAGTGAAAACCTCCTTCCATCAGCAAGGGCATTGAAGATGAAACGTGGCTGGGTCTTTCAGCATGACAATGATCCCAAACACACCGCCCGGAATACGAAGGAGTGGCTTTGTAAGAAGCATTTCAAGGTCCTGGAGTGGCCTAGCCAGTCTCCAGATCTCAACCCCATAGAAAATCTTTGGAGGGAGTTGAAAGTCCGTGTTGCCCAGCGACAGCCCCAAAACATCACTGCTCTAGAGGAGATCTGCATGGAGGAATGGGCCAAAATACCAGCAACAGTGTGTGAAAACCTTGTGAAGACTTACAGAAAACGTTTGACCTGTGTCATTGCCAACAAAGGGTATATAACAAAGTATTGAGAAACTTTTGTTATTGACCAAATACTTATTTTCCACCATAATTTGCAAATAAATGCATTAAAAATCCTACAATGTGATTTTCTGGAGAAAGAAATTCTCATTTTGTCTGTCATAGTTGATGTGTACCTATGATGAAAATTACAGGCCTCTCTCATCTTTTTAAGTGGGAGAACTTGCACAATTGGTGGCTGACTAAAAACTTTTTTTACCCACTGTATATATATATATATAGTGAGGGAAAAATGTATTTGATCCCCTGCTTATTTTGTACATTTGCCCACTGACAAAGACATGATCCGTCTATAATTTTAATGGTAGGTTTATTTGAACAGTGAGAGACAGAATAACAACAACAAAAATCCAGAAAAACGCATGTCAAAAATGTTATAAATTGATTTGCATTTTAATGAGGGAAATAAGTATTTGACCCCTCTGCAAAACATGACTTAGCAAAACCCTTCTTGTTAATCACAGAGGTCAGACGTTTCTTGTAGTTGGCCACCAGGTTTGCACACATCTCAGGAGGGATTTTGTCCCACTCCTCTTTGCAGATCTTCTCCAACTTTCAGCTCCCTCCACAGATTTTCTATGGGATTAAGGTCTGGAGACTGGCTAGGCCACTCCAGGACCTTAATGTGCTTCTTCTTGAGCCACTCCTTTGTTGCCTTGGCCGTGTGTTTTGGGTCATTGTCATGCTGGAATACCCTTCCATGACCCATTTTCAATGCCCTGGCTGAGGGAAGGAGGTTCTCACCCAAGATTTAATGGTACATGGCTCCGTCCATTGTCCCTTTGATGCGGTGTAGTTGTCCTGTCCCCTTAGCAGAAAAACACCCCCAAAGCATAATGTTTCCACCTCCATGTTTGACGGTGGGGATGGTGTTCTTGGGGTCATAGGCAGCATTCCTCAATAGTCGCCATGCTGGTAACGTTTTGGGGGGATCAATTGTTTATTGATTTTCAATAAACAACGAATGGGCAGACATATAATACACAAAAACACAAACAACAAAACAGAAAGGAGGGAGGCAACCACTTAAGTTACAGTAAGTAAGTGAGTAAGTAGCCTTGTCCAAGCCAGAATAGCTCATAGGTCAGGAACCTATCTCTTGTTTTTGTTGTGTGAGGCAGCTTAAAGTACAAGTACACCCCCTGGACAGGATGCTAGTCTCTCTATGCTGAGTACTAAGCAGAGAGGGATTGGGTCCACCGGGTTTCCAACCCCCAACCTTCCAATCTCAGGGAGGACACTCAGCCACTGAGTTGACTAATGTTATACAAACAAAAATAAACCTAGAGTAAGTACAGCTCAGTAAGTACAGCACAGCTCCCGCTCAGCCCAGTCAAAACTGTTCGCTGCTCTGGCACCCCAATGGTGGAACAAGCTTCCTCACGACGCCAGGACAGCGGAGTCACTCACCACCTTCCGGAGACATTTGAAACCCCACCTCTTTAAGGAATACCTGGGATAGGATAAAGTATTCCTTCTAACCCCCCCCCCCCCCCCCCCCCCCCCCCCCCCAAATTGTAAAGTGGTTATCCCACTGGCTATAGGGTGAACGCACCAATTTGTGAGTCGCTCTGGCTAAGAGCGTCTGCTAAATGACGTTAATGTGCCCTTGAGCAAGGCACTTAACCCTAATTGCTCCTGTAAGTCGCTCTGGTTAAGAGCGTCTGCTAAATGACTAAAATGTAAAAATGTAAATGTAAGTAACCATGTTTAATAGGACATTACAGAATGTTGTAATGAGATTACATTTTGTTTACTTCTAATGGATGTGTGTTTGTTGATGGTCCTGTCCTGTCCTGTAGGTGTTCCAGGCATCTCTGAAGCTGCTGCAGCTGCTGCTGACCCAGCTGATCCCAGGCCAGGCCCTGGGCAGAGCCGAGATGGCCCACTGTGTGGAGCAGACCTGGCCCAACCTACTCTCCAGGACCGGGGACTCGGCCACCAGACTACGGGCCATGGCCACAGCTTTCATCCAGGTGGGTTGAGTTAGATCAGGGATGGGCAACTTTGATGGGGGTGGGGGGGCCACAAAAAAATCTGAACACCATCCCCACCGTCAAAATCTGAACAGTTGCTTGCGGGTCTGCGTACTCACATACATACCCCCCCCCCCCCCCCCCCCCCCCCCCTCCCACCCCCACACACACACACACACACACACACACATTGTGAGCAAAACATTTTAGTGGCCCCCCTCTTGACAGCGGAGAGACATCTTTTAAGTTTTACAGTAGATTCCGTGCAATTCTACACATTTTGCCATGGGGTGTAGAGAAAATGTTGCCGTTTTATAACTAATTTCATGCAATTCTACTCATTTTGCTATGGGGCAGAGAGGAATGTTTGCAGTTTAATATGATATCTGAGTGAGACTGACTAACAAAATCAATGGGGGCCCCCTAGACGGTAAATCGACCAAGATAACAAGTTTAGATAGCTGGCCGCTAAACTAACTTGGCAATCTAAAAAATGTTAGCTGACATGGGGTAATTGACTGACTATCAGTGACTGACATACAAAGAGAAAAACTGCTGATGCACAACCAAATTTAGAAATTGCACCTTATGTATTTTACTGTACTAACTCGCAACAGTAAGTTGAGACCCCGGGGGAGGGTGATTGATCCGAGGGCATTCAAAAGGGGGGCTGCGGGCCGCATGCCGCCAGTTGCCCATCCCTGAGTTAGGCTTTGTGGCAAGCGTGCCCTCTTATCTATTTTAGCCTGGGCAGCATCATTGAGGGCTTCAGCCAGGTGGGTTGCTTCTCTATGGATGCACTTATCGTGCCCTGGACATATTCCCAACCTGGTCCCCTTCATTTGCAGACCTAATTTCTTGCTAGGCCTATATTGCTATAGTAGTACGCTCCTAACCTACACTGTGATAGAAGGCCATTGTGTGGCGGGCGTTTAGACACAAAATGTCTGCTGGCGATCACCCAGGTGGGAACTACATGTTGGTAGTTGTGGATGAGATTAGTTAGGGAATATTGCTATACAATCCGTTACCATTCCATTACAAACGTCTCATTGACTGCATGCCACCTACACCCGCGCCCGATCTAGAATGTTTAGACATGTAGCTAACATATACTGTAGCTCTGTTTGGATGAAGAGCTGGAGGTGTTGTAGCTGTTTTCATGCTTTACCCAAACTCTCCAACAAGCTCCATTTTGTACTAGAAATGTTGGGGCCCTACAGGGAAACGGAGGGACTGTGTGTGTGTGTGTGTGTGTGTGTGTGTGTGTGTGTGCAAAACAGTATTGGCCTTGTTCTATATAAACAACAATGGATACACAAATTAAACTATTTATTTTATTTTAGTAGTAGCATAAAAATACACAGAGCATGAAAGGGTCATCAGGTCCATTCTAGGAGCAACAATACGTCCTTATTCATTATGCATTCATCTCACTTTCCCAGAACATTCTTGTGACCAAAACATTGGTAGGGTACTGTAGGTTAGCATGCAATGACCTTTAAAGGCCCTTTACACATTATAGAACTTTAGCACAATATTTCCTTAAAGACTCTGTCTGACTATGCACCTTTTAAAGATAATAGCGAACAAAGAGGTTGTGTCCAACTGAGTGTTCTTGGAAAGTTCTGAGTTTGTATTGTAGCTTTTCATGAATGGGCTTTGCCAACATAAAAATGACGCTTATGATTTAAGCATATGCAATTTAGATGGTGCCCACATTGATCGTGTTCTTACATATCTGGATAGACGGTAAACTGTCTTTTAAAAAGCATATTGATGAGTTAGGTTATTTAATAAACTCCAGTACTGTGGTCCTCTGTAGCTCAATTGGTAGAGCATGGCGCTTGTAACGCCAGCGTAGTGGGTTCGATCCCCGGGACCACCCATACGTAAAAATGTATGCACACATGACTGTAAGTCGCTTTGGATAAAAGCGTCTGCTAAATGGCATATTATTATTATTATTATTACTTTTCTATGGAGCAATTGTTGTGCCTAAGGTCCGCATTCTAGAAAATGTTAAATGTATCAATATCATGTTAGTATAGAGAAAAACATGTTGATGTTTTTTAGCATGAAACATGATTGAAGGGCAATCATGAACCTTTTTCATATTCACTTCTGTCATCTCCAAGGACTGAGCACCCATTCTGGGGTTTATTAAATCTTCAAATTCCTGGTTGTAGCTCCTGCTTCTCTACTACTACCTCCTGGTTTCAAAATGGCTGCCTTGTCTCTTCCTCTCGCTCCTGTGCAGGACATGGCCTTGTTTAAAGAGGTGCGGGCCCTGCAATTGGTCCCTGGGGAGCTGGTGAAGCCCATTAAGTCCAACATCCCCACACGGCAGGCCCTGAGCAGGGCTAAGCTACTGGAGAAGCTGCTGGGAGAATTGGGCACAGACAACTCAGGCTTCACTCTGGACAACGTCATGAAGGTAAACACCTAAGGCAGCCATGATTTTTTTACTCCCACTCCTGGAGGGTTGCAATGTGTGCAGGCTTTTTTTTTTTTAAGAACAGTGGTCATCCATTCCCCTTTCATATTTGTTTATTTATTGTATAATTCAGAATGGTCTAGAGTCAGCAACACTACCACTGCACCAGACTCTGGCACGTTTATTCAGGCTTTTGAGCATTGTCGTCACCCTAGTGCCACTTGCTGTCACATGTTTCTGGGCTCAGGCCTAGATTGGAAGAAGAATCTGCTGTTCCAGTATCCAAGCTCTGGAGAAGCAGTGAATGAAGACGCCCCAGAAGTCAATCAACACACTCCAGAGTAAACATATACTTTAGGCCTCAACTTATCTTGACTGTTGTCTATTTCTATGCAGTTCTACATCTATATCATCTTAAGTTGATCAGTGGAATTGAAGGATGAGAGAGGATGGCCAAATAGTTGATGTCTGGGTTTTGCATCAGTCACCCTAATTCACTCAATTCAAATAGGCGTTAGTTACCTCTGGTCAGTTGGGGGAATGCTGTCATTAGTGACTGACACAGCTCTCTCTCTCTCTCTCTCTCTCTCTCTCTCTCTCTCTCTCTCTCTCTCTCTCTCTCTCTCTCTCTCTCTGGACAGAATATAATATTTTAGCTATCATATACAATATAGCCTTCACATAAGGCTCAGAAGCATACGCACATATGCAGAAATATGCATTCCACAAATAAAACCACCAAATAAATAAATACTTACAAATAATAACAATCATATCATGGCATATACAGTACATGCTTTTTTTCCCTGAATGGCAAGAAGCAGTACCCAATGAACATAGGGAATAGTTTGTGTTTTCTCCATATAAACCAGGGCTCTCCAACCCTGTTCCTGGAGAGCTACCCTCCTGTAGATTTTCACTCCAACCGTAATCTAGTGCACCTGATTCTAATAATTAGCTAGTTGATAAGCTGAATCTGGTTCGTTACAACTGGGGTTGGAGCGAAAACCTACAGGAGGGTAGCTCTCCAGGAACAGGGTTGGAGAGCCGTGATATAGACAAATGTTAATGAGACAACCGGTTCATTATCTTCTTTCTTGCATGCATCAAAGGTTACTGTACCACATTTATTTTCCCTCTCTGTTTTTTCATATTTAGGTAAGTATAGCTATGTTTGGTAGGAATCCAGGAGCCAGGTTTTCTGAGTGAGTAGGCCTCGTCCCCTTCGTTCCACCTCAGTGCAGGGATGTACTTGAGGAATTTCTTAGAGAGCATAAACAGGCCTGGGAAGAAGACAGACCCAGCGGCTAGGATGGTCAACATGGTCCCACGCATTTGTCTGTGTGGCAAAGTTCAGCAGGTAATCTGGTTTTTGAGATTTCTCTCCCCTATCGAGATTCTGCAGTTGGGTCAGCAGCCTGTCAACTCGTTTCCTGGAGAAAGCGATTAGCGAAGTCCCGGGGGTGCCCACTTGGATAATGTATGCTCTGTCTCTGTCTCTGTCTCTCTCTGTCTGTCTGTCTGTCTCTGTCTCGCTCTCTCTGTGTATGTGTCTCTTCACTTCCAACAGTGACCTAGTATCTATGTGTCAACTATCCAAGTGTTGACAGAGTGTGCAGTGTGATTGTCTGTCCTTTCTAGTTTACGTCAGACTTCTTTTGACCGGCCTCTGCTTCACCGCTGGCTTTATGGTAGGCGGGAGCACATTGTTAAGTTCTGCACCGGAGTCCCTCTCTCAAGTTGAAGAGCCACAGACGGTACTCTCCTCGGTGGCCTGTGTTTGCATGTTTGTTTGTGCGTGCTTGCAGACAGCTAGCAAATGCACCGACTCCTTTATGTCAGCTCCTTTCAATGTTTGCTGAGAACTTTTGGGGTAAGCGTTGCATTCGAAGGCAATAGTGGGAGGGCATTTCACTATACTGCTTGCTCGCTGCCTGAGACTGGAATTGGTTTCAGTTGAAAACTGTTGGTGTTCGTTGACAGCCCTTCATGGGTCTTGGCTTACCACTTGGCCTAAAAACACATAATACGTCAAACCCTGTGTATTCAGTCAGTGAGGTGTTGTATCAAAATCGGTCTCTCTGTCATAAACGTGAATTCCCAGACCCAATTTTCCAGTTTTGTCAACACACCTGATTGCTATTGTGAGATGATGGCTTCATGTCCATCCTCAGGCCTGTATCGTCTCACTGAACAATGGGGATTATGCAACTGAGCCGTACTGCTTGAGTTTCACACCTTCCTCCTCGGGCTCCCTCTCTCCTCTTACAGCGGACAGAGACTGATGGGCACAGCAAGGTAGCTTGGGACTACTATTGAATCTATAACAATAGAGTCTATAACAACTAGAAACAAACCTGAAGAGGTCTGGATTGTGCACCTTTTTGTGTCTGGCTCAAATATATTCGTTTAAGATAGTAGCCTATAGCTATAGCAAAATGTCCTAGTGTAATGCTTGCCACATTGACCACATTGGCACGAACCCTGAATTTGACTAAAATTCAATTAGTGGGTCTCAATGGGAATTGAGCCTACCATTTCCCCATTCTCTTTAGTGAGTATAATGAGCCTGCACCTAGGCAGGGTTCTCCAAAGAATGTAAGAGATCGCAGGAAATGGCAGTTACAGGTGTTAGAAAACGCAAAAATTTCTGAGGCCTCCCCCTGGCAGTACTCAGCAGCACCACCTTGTTAAAATGTCCTTGGGAGAACACTGCTAGTTTGCTCTTTGCCGAGTGCAGGGTCAGCCGGGTTATTCCCCCCTGGTCCGAGGACTGATACATTTCTCCCTTTCCCCTCCCGTTACCTGGGAGATGGAGCCGGAGCAAAGAGGTGATTGAATTTCCTGTAATTAAAATGAGAAGCAGAGAGAGACAACATAGAATAATGGCTGCCTGTCCCCAGCCCATTGACTCAGGGAGAGGAGAGGTGCCCTTTGTACAGTACACAGTTTACCTTTTGAGGTAAATGCTCTCTCTGAATGCTCTCTAGCCGATATGCTATGACGGCGATTGAGCTATCATTCTCACCAGACTATCGTAATATAATGACTGTTGGTTTAAACAAGCATTGATTAGTATCATGTTTCAATGAAATCTGTAGAATTTCCACTTATCAATCATATATGCAGGCTTTTTCATTCAGTCGAAATAACTGTAATTGATACATTTAGTTGTTTCATTCACTATCTGAGTGGTGCTAGCATGCTAGCTTCTTTTCGGACATGCAACTTCCTTTTGTATTTCATCCTCTGTACAGGTACATCATGCTAAACTCAGTATGTTGTAGCTTTTTTAGCATGCTACTGTATCCTCTTTTTGTTTTTGTTAAATTTCTGTAAAGGCTCTTAAGGGTGGTTTCCCAGACACAAATTAAGCCTTGTTCTGGACTAAAAAGCACTTTCAATGGAGATTCTCAATTTAAGGAGGATTTTATGTCCAAGATTAGACTTAGTCTGTTTCTGGTAAACCAGTATTTTTGTTTCCATTTCAGCTCTCTAAAGGCTCTTGTTCATCACCTCTGTGCCTCTGTGTCAGTTCTGTACAGGTGCGCTGCAGCACAGCGCGTCAGAGGTGAGAGAGACAGCCGTGCTCATCATCCTGGCCATGTACCGCCTGCACAAAAACGCCGTCCTCAGCTACCTCCCGGCCAACGATGCCGCCACACGCAAGAACGTGCTCTACAAGAACATATTTGACGGCTTCGCCAGGATCGATGGGCGGCCGGTGGAGTCCCAGGCAAGGCTCGGCCCATCTGTGTGTTTGAATGAGTTATGACGTAACGTTGGACAAGCTGTGATTCTGAACAAGTTCTCAGTTGTTTAGGGATGGGTGACAAGCTGCTTCTTTTCTGTTGCTTGTGTTCTCTCACCTCATTAGTCCCGTTAAGTAATGACCGTGCTACTATTAAGTAATGTTCCACTGCTAAAAGTCTGGCCATGTCTCCTTGGGTGAGTTAAGGACACATCGTCATCACTGCAGTGGAGACTGTCTACAAGGCTTCCAGACATGACTGGGCTATTAGAGAAGCCCGGGCAAACACAGAGAGAAGGAGGGGAAGAGAGAGGAGAAGAAGAACGACAGAGGGAGAGGAGAAAAGGAATGAGTGTGTGAGAGAGAGACTTATACAATTGCACTTAAGTGTGTCACTATGCTTCTTTCATTTTGTTTCAGACGTCAAAGAAGGGAGGCGCACAGCAGGAGGGGGAGAAGGAGAAGGAGGAGATCCACAGTCTTCAGGAGCAGCTGGCTGCCTTGAAGGAGATCAGTGTAGGTGGAGCTGTCATCACTGCACTATTACCTAATTTCCTTCAACAGGCCAGCGTGTCTGTGTCACTCCTCCTTGTTGTGCCCTCATTCCACTACCCTCATTCCACTGTACTGTATGTCCACAGTATAGACCACTGAAGTAAATAGAACACACACCTAATAGTCTCTATGGTATTGATTATTTCCAAAAGACAATTAATCATATGTACCATTGGTATGGATATAAGCACAGGTATATGGTTTTACAACACTTCTACTGTATCTCTGCAAGATGTTGAATTTGCAGTTTTTTTTTAAGGAGAAGGGCAATTCCAAAGTGGAAAAAGAGAAGGGAAATACCAAAGGACAGAAGAAAGAGGCTGTTAAAGCTGTAAAAACAGGTCTGTATGAACCCTATCCTCAACCACTGTTCACACGTACACTAACTTTGAAAAACCCACCTCAAATTCCACAAACGGTTTTGGCCAAACCCATTGTGGTTCACGTTTTTGTTTTTACGGTAGAATGCTGGTTGCACCACTTTGAGGCATTATTTTAGGGACTACAGTACACTGTCCCTCTAATTTGTAGTGACCTGTGAAAAAGGTGTCCCTGTTGCTTTCCAGGTGTCAAAACAGCTCCCCAAATCAACCCAGAAGATGCAGGAGATAACCAGTCTTCAGTTGTCAACAACTTGGATAAGTGAGTGTTGATGCACAGCAAAAGCAGAAAGGAAGCTACGAAACTGACTGAAATGCTGTAAAAATAGTCTAATACATAAAAGAATGGAAAACACCTAATTGGCAACATGGAATGCCTTTGAATTTTATGTTTCAGCCTGTGTATATTAATAATGTGTTTCAGTCTGTGTATTCTTAATGTTATAGCGTATGTATATTCTGAATTGGTTTCAGCCTCTGTATATTCTGCGGTGAAAAGGATGAGTCCTTCACTGAGGATGGATTGGACCTGCACTACTGGAAGCACTGTCCTATGTTGCACCGCTGTGACCAATGTAGACAGGTACACAAAGGCCAGTAGGGCCACTTCAAGTAACTCCTATCTATGAAATGACTCATTGAAGAAGGACCATAGAGTGGGGAACCTGGAGGAGCTTTGGGTGGAGTAAGCTTTGGGTGTAAGGATCTGACCGTGTAGTGCGTAGACACATTGAATTGTGGTTTTGTGTGTCCTTGTGTTGGAGACCAGTGTGTTTATTTGTGACTGACGTGTCTTTCAGGTGGTTGAGATAGCCAGCCTCTCAGAGCACCTGTTGGGGGAGTGTGAGAACAGGGCCAGGTTCAGCCAGTGCCCTCGCTGCTCAGAGGCTGTGCCCATGGACGAGCTCACCCGCCACACCCAGAGCCCTGCCTGCAACCGTAAGTCTCAACTTTCCTCTAGCACCGGCGAACTGCTAACTTTGCTAACTTTGCTAATAGCTAACCCTGCTAATAGCTAACCCTGCTAATAGCTAACCCTGCTAATAGCTAACCCTGCTAACAGCTAACCCTGCTAACTGCTTACCCTGCTAACTACTATCCCTGCTAACCTTGCCAACAGCTAACCCTGCCAAACGCTTGATCCAGCATCAGCCGCTGCTTGCCAGATTCCCTTCCCTCCTTTTAGTCTTTGTAAGCAAGTATATTCTTACAGCCAAAGATATTGAGTCTTTTGTGCTTGTGTTACTACATACACTCATCTACTCTTTCATTCATGCCTGCCCATTAACCCTCAGGGGCTCTTAACAGTTGGGGTGTCAAGTAAGCTCATCAAAACAGTACTTGTAAATGACTGGTAGAAAGGAAACATTATCACTGAGAGGTAACATCACTGCATGGAGTTTATATTGTGGCATTCAACCAAAATGTGGCCAATCAGTTTAATCTACAGCTTGAATAGTGCTGAATAAAATATATAGACAACATCCTTTTGGTTTGCGAGAGAATGGGAACATTTTTGTAAAACAATACCATGGCAGTGTTATTATTAGGGCTAGCACGGTAATTGTATAACTGTGTAACCAATGATTATGGATGAAGACCATGAATAAAAGAAAATAACCGTCATAACCGTTCTAATACTTTCATTTTATTGAATTTTTAAGCAGAGGTCCGTGTGGTGTTATGATTCTGAATGGTCAGATAGCTACCAACAATGACACGAAGCTGCCATGTGGGGAATCGTAAGTGGCTTGTTTTTGCTAAACAACCAACCCGTCTATACATTTTGTCCAGTTTGTAAACATTCAAAAACTATGCTGAAATGAACTACCAAATGTAATTATTGGTGAGTATGGACATTTATAGACTGGTTGGTTGTTTAGCAACAAAACCGACGCGTAAGCAACTATGGGGCAAAACAGATTGGGTTGGCTTAGATTGTTGACAACATGTAAACTATATTTTGTGTCTGTTTATTGAAAACATAAATGCATTTGCACAATGAGCACTTGTTGTCTCTCAAATACATTGTTACAGTTGTTGGTTAGCTAGCAAGAAAATGTGAGCCATATTAGCATATACGTGACATCAGTCAAAACACCTCAAAACAAGACATGGTATCAATAACAAGATACAATGAGCTGAAACGAGCCACCTATGATTCCCCACATGGTAGCTTCTTGTCATTGTTGCTAGTTATCTGGCCATCCAGAATCACAGCATTTTTACATTTAAAAAATAAAAAATGTAGTCATTTAGCAGACGCTCTTATCCAGAGCGACTTACAGGAGCAATTAGGGTTAAGTGCCTTGCTCAAGGGCACATCGACAGGTTTTTCACCTAGTCGGCTTGGGGATTAGAACCAGCGACCTTTCGGTTACTGGCACAACGCTCTTAACCACTAAGCTACCTGCCGCCCTAACAACAACACACAGACTTATGCCTCATTAAAGAGTGCGCATTGTTTTCGTGACACTGTCAGCTAACCCGTCTATAAGTGAATGTAAATCTGAGAAAAAGTGATAAACCGAAGTTGAAATCCATGCTAGGCTAGCAAACGTACAGTACCAGTGAAAAGTTTGGACACACCTACTCATTCCAGAGTTTTTCTTTATTTTTACTATTTTCTACATTGTAGAATAATAATGAAGACATCAAAACTATGAAATAACACATATGGAATCATGTAGTAACCAAAGAAGTAAAAAAAAAAAAATATATATATATATATATATATATTTCACATTTTAGATTCTTCAAAGAAGCCACCCTTTGCCTTGATGACAGCTTTGCACACTTTTGGCATTCTCTCAACCAGCTTCACCTGGAATTCTTTTCCAACAGTCTTGAAGGAGTTCCCACATATGCTGAGCACTTGTTGGCTGCTTTTCCTTCACTCTGCGGTCCAAATCATCCCAAACCATCTCAATTGTGTTGAGGTCTGGTGATTGTGGAGGCCAGGTCATCTGATTCAGCACTCCATCACTCTCCTTCTTGGTCAGATAGCCCTTACACAGCCTGGAGGTGTGTTGGGTTATTGTCCTGTTGAAAAACAAATGATAGTCCCACTAAGCGCAAACCAGATAGGATGGCATATTGCTGTAGAGTGCTGTGGTAGCCATGCTGGTTAAGTGTGCCTTGAATTCTAAATAAATCACAGTATCACCAGCAAAGCACCATCACACCACCTCCTCCAAGCTTCACAGTGGGAACTACACATGCAGAGATAATCCGTTCACCTACTCTGCGTCTCACAAAGACACAGCGGTTGGAACCAAAAATCTCACATTTGGACTCATGAGACCAAAGGACAGATTTCCAACGGTCTAATGTCCATTGCTCGTGTTTCTTGGCCCAAGCAAGTCTCATCTTCTTATTGGTGTCCTTTAGTAGTGGTTTCTTTGCAGCAATTCGACCATGATGGCCTGATTCACGCAGTCTCCTCTGAACAGTTGATGTTGAGATGTCTGAACTCTGAAGCATTTATTTGGGCTGCAATTTCTGAGGCTGGTAACTCTAATGAACTTATCCTCTGCAGCAGAGATAACTCTGGGTCTTCCTTTCTTGTGGCGGTCCTCATGAGAGTCAGTTTCATCACAGCGCTTGATGGTTTTTGCAACTGCACTTGAAGAAACTTTCAAAGTTATTAATCTTACGGATTGACTGACCTTCATGTCTTAAAGTAATGATGGACTGTCGTTTCTCTTTGCTTATTTGAGCTGTTCTTGCCATAATATGGACTTGGTCTTTTACCAAATAGGGCTATCTTCTGTATACCAACCCTACCTTGTCACAACACAACTGATTGGCATTAAGAAGGAAATAATTTCCACAAATTAACTTTTAACAAGGCACACCTGTTAATTGAAATTATTTCCAGGTGACTACATCATGAAGCTGGTTGAGAGAATGCCAAGAGTGTGCAAAGCTGTCATCAAGGCAAAGGGTGGCTACTTTGAAGAATCTCAGATATAAAATATATTTGGATTTGTTTAACACTTTTTTGGTTACTACATGATTCAATACCCTTGAATGAGTAGGTGTGTCCGAACTTTTGACTGGTACTGTACAGTCGTGGTCAAAAGTTTTGATCGACACAAATACTAATTTTCACAAAGTCTGCTGCCTCAGTTTTGATGATGGCAATTTGCATATACTCCAGAATTTCATGAAGAGTGATCAGATTGCAATTAATTGCAAAATCCCTCTTTGCCATGAAAATGAACTTAATTCCAAAAAAAGATTTCCACTGCATTTCAGCCCTGCCACAAAAGGACCAGCTGCCATCATGTCAGTGACTCTCTCGTTAACACAAGTGAGAGTGTTGACGAGGACAAGGCTGGAGATCACTCTGTCATGATGATTGAGTTAGAATAACAGACTGGAAGCTTTAAAAGGAGGGTGGTGCTTGAAATCATTGTTCTTCCTCTGTTAACCATGGTTACCTGCAAGGAAACACGTGCCGTCATCATTGCTTTGCACAAAAAGGGCTTCACAGGCAAGGATATTGCTGCTAGTAAGATTGCACCTAAATCAACCATTTATCGGATCATCAAGAACTTCAAGGAGAGAGGTTCAATTGTTGTGAAGAAGGCGTCAGGGTGCCCAAGAAAGTCCAGCAAGCGCCAGGACCGTCTCCTAAAGTTGATTCAGCTGTGGGATCGGGGCACCACCAGTGCAGAGCTTGCTCAGGAACGGCAGCAGGCAGGTGTGAGTGCATCTGCACGCACAATGAGGCGAATACTTTTGGAGGATGGCCTGGTGTAAAGAAGGGCAGCAAAGAAGCCACTTCTCAAGGTAAAACATCAGGGACAGACTGATATTCTGCAAAAGGTACAGGGATTGGACTGCTGAGTACTGGGGTGAAGTCATTTGCGCTGATGAATCCCCTTTCCGATTGTTTGGGGCATCCGGAAAACATCTTGTCCGGAGAAGACAAGGTGGGCGCTACCATCAGTCCTGTATCATGCCAACAGTAAAGCATCCTGAGACCATTCATGTGTGGGGTTGCTTCTCAGCCAAGGGAGTGGGCTCACTCACAATTTTGCCTAAGAACACAGCCATGAATAAAGAATGGTACCAACACATCCTCCGAGAGCAACTTCTCCCAACTATCCAAGAACAGTTTGGTGACGAACAATGCTTTTTCCAGCATGATGGAGCACCTTGCCATAAGGCAGAAGTGATAACTAAGTGGCTCGGGGAACAAAACATCGACATTTTGGGTCCATGGCCAGGAAACTCCCCAGACCTTAATCCCATTGAGAACTTGTGGTCGATCCTCAAGAGGCAGGTGGACAAACAAAAAGGTGGGCAGAGCCAAGCACAAGCTAGCAAGATCCTGTTGGCGCGTTCTAGCAAATATTTGCATGGTTCAGTTAGGGAAAGCCTACTCTGTGCAGTGCGCGTGTGCAATACCTATATTCGCCCTTGCATGCCATCTAAACAACGCCATTTTTTAAAAACTTTGTCAAAGGGTAAAGTCTACAAAACTTAGTCCACTCTGTTCATAACAGATTATAGTTTTAAGAACAAAAAACTATATTGAGATTGATGAGAAAATGTGCAGAATGTCGGCCAAAATCCATCTCATTCCATCTTCTCCCACTGCCAGCCACTGGGCTTCCTCTCACTACCATATTTGGTAGTGAGTGGAAACGCCAAGCGGATGCTTCACATTTATACATCCGGTGAAATATCTGTCTCATTGTTCTATCTGTGCTGCAACTGTATGATGACTGCATGTTAAGACTTGTTTACTGCAGTTGCTAGGCAACGGAAAGCATTGTGCTGCTGCTGTTGATGGAAGCAGCGCAGCAGACATAAGTGGTGGGCCGAAGTCTGAGAACGTGAAGTTGATCGATCCCTGGGAGGAGCTGATTATTATTTTTTTGGTATATGACAGTCAAACATTCTTATGATGACTATAAAATGTGTTGCCACCCTCAATTCTTGCACATTTTCTCATACTGTCTGCT